CATGGTCTTGTAGTAGATGCGAACCTTAACTGGACGCCAGTGGAGTGTGCGGAGGAGCGGGGTGACGTGAGAGAACTTGGGAAGGTTGAACACCAGACGGGCTGCAGCACACACACACACAACTTTAAACGCTTGACTATCAAATAATATAATCTACATGACATAGGCACAGACAGACAATTTACACGGCTAACCGCCAAAGAGTGAACGTCTACAAAGTACTGTACATCACACATTTAGAGATGCACAGAAATCCTTCCTGATTTAGCAAGAAGGTTTGGGGCATGAAATCACATTACAAATCCCAGGTAGATCAGCTAGTATACCTTACCTACACATGAATAAACTAAGTGAAACACATAAAACCCACTTCAGTTTAACTCTACTCACAGTGTGAAAGGCCGCTCATGTAAAAGACAACCATACAATCACCACGTGTGTGAACATACAAGCAGCCCTGACATACACTTCTGGTACAAAAAGGAGTTCTTAGAAATGAAATACGGAATGCATGAAATATGCAGTCAGTTCTGACACAAGGGTTTCTCTCCTCTTCTCTCTCCTCTATTCCCACAACATAATTTATTCATCTGAGCTATTCTAGAAGCTGATAGAACAATCTATTGCATATTTTCCTCACCACTGATATACAGATTCATATTTTAAAAGGACGTTCAAAAATGGAGAAAACTCTTTCTCTCTCTCAATCCCTCCAAGCTCTCCTTCCTCTTACAAGATGTCTAGCAGATCTTCTAGCAGGCAGGACACACTTAAGGAGCAGATTTTCTTAATTTTCTACTTGATTTAATAATTAGGTGAGAGAGGCTCTGCAGGAGTGAGGGAGGGCCAGTGCAGGACAGAGAGAGAGAGAGAGAGAGAGAGAGAGAGAGAGAGAGAGAGAGGGAGAGAGAGATGATCCAGTCTGCAGAATACCCAGTGTACCCAAACCAACAGAATGTAGGCTAACATTTCTTTACACCTCGTCTAGAGGGAGTTGAATTAACAATAGATTATTTTGCGATCCAGAAGATGCAAGTGTGCAGTTAAAATCAGCTTGAATATACAAAGGCAATACCACCACATCAATTAGACATTTACTGATTGAATCATCTCACAGTAACATTTAGTCATATTAGACAGGACATACAGTCATAACGTCAACTGTTAGCTGTATTAACCTAAACTTAATCACTTGAGCATTTCATACATTTCATTCATTGTCTAGCCACATTTTACTGTGAGCATGTAAAGACACACACACAAACACACACACACACACAATACCAGCTTTAGAAATGATGGACATGTGAACGGCATGCATCTGCTCCTGCTCTTTCCAGTCCCTCATGCCTATTTATACATGACTGGAATGTCATTGCGCTCACGCACACACACACACACACACACACACACACACACACACACACACACACACACACACACACACACACACACACACACACACACACACACACACACACACACACACACACACACACACACACACACACACACACACACACACACACACACACAGAGGTATGGTATAGCACAGAAGTAGATACTCACATTCTCTCTGTGTTGCGGGGTATATTCCGGGCATGGTTTTGATGCCCAGCCCATGGCAGTCAACCGTGGTGCCACTGCAGGTACACAGGGCAGGGCATGCGCTGGTATAGCCTGTCACCAGGGCACAGAGAACCAGCACACACACCCAGTATCCAGGCAACCTCCCCACGCCTGCCCCAGAACAAGCTCCTCTCCCGGGCATGATCTCCACCACAGCAGCCTCCTGCTTCTCTAAACCTGGCTCCAAAAAAAACCTTGTTTTCTCCTTCTTTCTTTCTCCCTCTTTCTCCTTCTCTCTTCAAAACCCCAAAGTCCTACTACACAGTGCAACTTTTCTACAGTCAGTGTGTAGGCTCTTGTAGAATGAGAAAGAAATCTGACTGTTCCAACATAAAATTGGGCTAGAAATAAGTCCTCAGTTGGTAACAAAGCAGATGAGATGTTTTAAATGTGCTGCAGTCTCATTCTTCTTCTCCTGTTGGTGTTTTCTGAAAGGCTTGATTTTCTTCTCTTTTTCTCTCCTCCTTTCCTTGCAAAGTGAACTATCCACTTCTCTCTTCTCTTTGTGGAGTTGTTCTGTTCTGCACTCGTTGGCTCACGTCTCTCTCCGTCCCGCTCTACTCTGCTTGTCTGATGAGGGGGGAATGGGGAAATAGCAGAATGAAAACAAGTCTCTCTCTCTCTCTCTCTCTCTCTCTCTCTCTCTCTCTCTCTCTCTCTCTCTCTCTCTCTCTCTCTCTCTCTCTCTCTCTCCTACACACACAGCAGTCATCCATCACTAGGATCTACTAATAGCAGACCCCTGACTCCACCCCTCCCCCTCCTCTCCTCCCTCCCTCCTCACACAACACCTCCCTTCAGAACCATGCCTGAACTCTCTCATTCTCTCTCTCTCACACTATCTCTCAATCTCTCTCATTCTGTCTTCTAGTCCCTCATTTTCTCTCTTATTCTCACAACTCTCTCTCCATCCTTTATTCTGTTTCATTCTCTCCCTCCTGTCTATTCTCTCTCTCCCAGGCTTGCCTCCAGGCAGCCCCTATAGAGCAGAGAGCAGTAACCTGTGTGACACTGTTCAATTTCTGTCCCCAGTGTGTCCCCAGCATCACAAAGAACTGTGTGTGTGTGTGTGTGTGTGTGTGTGTGTGTGTGTGTGTGTGTGTGTGTGTGTGTGTGTGTGTGTGTGTGTGTGTGTGTGTGTGTGTGTGTGTGTGTGTGGGTATATACAAACAGCATTTACATTGATGACATCACCTAACAAGGACTTGGACATTAGTGGACTGTTGAAGTCCTTAGCGGTGGCAAGGAGGAGGTTAGTTTCCAACCTCTCTCCACTCAATGAAATAAACACTTCTGATTTAAATACACCACTGTCTTGGCTTGGCCTGGCTCAGCTTGGCCTGGCTCTGCACAGCTCACTGTGTCTAACCCTCCACTTCATCTCTTCCTGCCTGCGCTGTGGTGGAACCATCCTTCCCAGGCCTAGCCAGCCAGACACCACACATCGTAGAGAGAGAGAGCTCCATCTGGCCCAGAAAAAGTGTTAGTGGGGTCCTGATTACAAGGTAGAGGGTGGTGTTTAGGGAGTAATGAGGGAGTCTCTCTCTGTCCCTCTCTCTGCTCCCTCCGCTCTCTCACAGAGCTGTGAATGGAATGCACAAAGATACACAACACACACCTCTGTTTGTCTCAGACGTCAGAAGGGATGACACCAATTTGCACTTAAGAGGAGAATTGTCAAACAGCAGACAGAACCACAACTCATATAAGAAATAAAGGAAGCAAACTGGAAGTCTCAGGAACATTTGTCTAACTTTATTTTCTGTAGTAATTGTGTAGTAATTTAGTAGTAACTAGAGCTCACCAAAGAGAGAACATAGAGTGGTGTGAAGTTTTATTTTGAATCATTTTAAAATAACACTATGTATACTTTGGTGGTTGTGTGTGGATAATGCATGGTTGAATGGGTCTAACCTAGCATGTCTACAGTTAAGAACAAACTGTGTCTGGAGAACCCATTCTAAATAAAACCCATGAGTTTGACGTGGTAACTATGTACAGTAGTGAACATTGGTATGTCCAGCACGGTCGCTGCTGTCCTGTTCTGCATTTACAGGACCTGAGAGAGAGAGAGCAGGAACCTGCTATACTTACAATACACAATACAACACAGATGTCCACAACGTATACTTACCATACCAAACATGTAACAACACAGACACCATAATGACTCACACATTCCTCTCCTCTGCATTGTGGATGACTTCTCATCTTTCTTTCATCCCCCTCTCCTTACTCACAGGGCTACCAGGAGAAAAGTCAACTGGAGACACAAATAGTCACATTCCAGGAACAAAAGTCTAAATTAAACTGAAAGGGAATGATTTGAGTCACTTCATGTTCACAATTTCATAAACTGCCAGGGACAAGATTAACACACTTATTAAGATGTATATTCACTTTTTCTCAACATCTCACAGTTATATCAAAGTAGAGACAGTGTTCTAAATATTATATACATGTTTCCAACCTGAAAAATGTATTTAAGAAAATATTTAATGCTAAACATCCAGCGGTGGATTCAGGGCATCTTTACAAAAGGCTGAGCGTTTGCATCTCAAGTGCTCTATCTTGTGGTTAACAATTCAACTGCACTCAGTAACTACAGACCAGTGACTAGTTCCAGGAAGTTTAGAAGACAAAACACATCAAACTCACTAAATACCTATAAATAAATGAAATACTCAAACATGTACATTAAATATTACCTGGCCATGTTGTAAAATCTTCAATCACGGTCAGCTTTCAGTATGATATTTCACACAACCAATAACAACAACAGGAAATAAATATGTTTCTTTGATTATCTTGTAATGTCAGTTTGTTGCATAGCTTCACATTAGCACCAATAATGACAGACATTCTGTTATACATGGTGCCCTCCCAGACCCAGTAGCATGTAACACATTCACAGATAACAGTTTGACACAGAGCTCTGAAGCTCAATAGTCAGATCAGTATCATGGCATCGTTTCACGTTGTAATGCTGCTGACACTATCAGGGACATATACAGGCAAAGGTTGAAACTAGAAAAGGAAATCCTGACACGGATTCAAGTTATTCACATTTCCACAAAAGCAATTAATTCACATTAGTAGAAGATTTGTGTGAAGATATGGTTGAATCTAGTCAGGAATCAGAGGTCAATATCTTTGAATTTGAAAATAGGTAGAAACAGAATACCAATGCAGATAGGCCTAAACCATGTATCAAAACTTTAGAATAACTTACATTAATATTGTAGCACAGACTGCATACCAAAACATTTGTTTGTAACAGTATCAAAACAAAGAACATAGAACATGTATATTCCATAAAATATTGCGTAAAACATAAGTGGATAAAATAACAGAATAAAACCATGTGATCATTAAGACACATAGTGGTTGTACTCTGAGACAGTAAAAAACACAAAGAAAAGTCTTCAAATGAAAAAAGTTAAATAGAGAGAAAATCAAAGTGTTGGAAATAAAGACTTTGGCTAAAGAAACAAACTGCCAAAAGATAAATGGTGAGTTCACACATGTTGTAATAACACAACACCATTAGTTACTCCTAGACCTTTGACCTCTCACATCTAGGGCCCAGAGGTTTTCCTTAACAAGTCACCTGACCACACCTAGGGCCCAGAGCTTATCCTTAACACGTGACACAACCATACCGAGGGCCCAGAGGTTTTCCTTAACATGTGACCTTTGGCATGTCACTCACACCTAGGGTCCAGAGGTTTTTCTTAACACATGACCTAATCACATCTAGGGCCAAGAGGTTTTTCTTAACAAGTGACCCGACCATCTAGGGCCCAGAGGATTTCCTGACCAGGAACAACCCTAGTCATTGCCCAACATTCCATGTTCCAAGACTTCCCTCATCTCTCCCTCCATCTTTCCTTCACACTCATCCCAGTCTCTCTCCTCAGTCTCAACACATTAGAACAGCAACATTGATGATGCTACTGCCTCCACAGCTACACCAACTGGAATACATTAGACTATCTCAATGAGACCTACAGGCTTAAATAAAGATTCAATAAAAGATCTTCAATCACACCTCAACTTTACTACTTTACTAATAGAATTTTAAGGCCCTCAAAACACTTTGCTTAAATTACCAAGTCTAGAGTCAATCTGAATTTAACCATCCTTTGTAATTTACTACAATGTAGCGTAAACTCCCTAGAGATCCAGCGTATTCCTACCTAACTGAGAAAATACTGCCTACAGCTAAATAATACCAACACTTGATACAAATAAAAACACTATTTGTCCACATTGCATGCTTTACATAGTAGTAACATTACCTCAAAACGCAAGCAAAAGTTTAAGACAAGAAAAACACAATATACGGGTTGTAGTTTGGTTCTCATTGGTTGTTCTAGTCAGTCTTCATAACTCTTACTTGACCTGAATGACCAGTTGGAAATGAGACGTGTCGTCTCTTTCCAAACAGAACAAAGAAGAGATTAAACTAATTAAAATGTATAACATTTAGAACATATTAAAACCTTGTAGACAACTGTTTTGGTGCTTAGCACACTGGCCATGAACGGCAATAATGCTTTTAAGACACTTTACACATTATTCAGAGTTATGTCCGTTCTACTTAACCTTTGAGCTAAACCCATCCGACGTCATCACTCAAATAAACCCCATTGGGGAGAGCTGAGGCAGGGAGTTCTGGCACTCCATCCATACCCCACTTCAGTAGTCATGGATTAAATAGGTCACCATGGCTGTGGGTTGGAGCCCTTCATATGTCACTCTGGATGGATAAAAGTGTCTGCTAAATGACCATATTATGAACATATACTATAATTATTATCATATTAGTAATGGGGGGGACGACGCCGTCACCCACTGGTTTATATCTGTGAATCATGAGGCCCACCATTCTAAAGGAAAGTTTCATTTGTTTGGTTTGAAGCTGAGACAAAGTAACACTTCACTATACCACCCCTATTACTAACACACACACACACGCACACAGGATTATCTATGGAGAGGTGTAATGGTGTATAGTACTGACCCCACTACACACAGGATTATCTATGGAGAGTGTACTGACCCCTCTAAAGCTGATGTTCTCTTTCTCCTGCCTGTCCAATGTGTTTCTGGGTCCTGGAGTCACCAGTCTACTGCTGCTGCTGCCCTATCAGTTGACCTACACATTTTGTTTGTGCAGTTTTACAGATAATTTCCTGCAATTCTACACATTTTGCCATGACTTATATCACGTTAATAATTATATCTGAGTGAGAGTGACTAACAAAATCAATGTGGGCCTCCTGGAGGTCAGGGCAGTCAAGGGGTCTCACTGATTTGTTTTATCTCATTTACTGAATTTCTATACAATTTTAAAACATTAAAATGCTTTTTGGAGAAGAGTAAAAACAGGCAGAAATTACCCAAGCCATTATCACATTGGTTGCTGTAGCTTCATTCACCTCAGTCCATCTACAAACACATAGCCTATTAGCTGTACAATTAGCTGCTACACATTAACTCACATTAACTCAGCACCGGGATTAAAAACTATAATTTAATACGTACAGAGGGATATGTTAGCAGAAAAAGTATTTTATTAACAAAAAGTAAACATATGAGTTTGCTTTACAGAACAATTATTTTGTAGTTTCACAGCTAATTTCCTGCATTCTACACATTTTGACATGACTAATGCAATGTTAATATGATATCTGAGTGAAAGTGACTAACAAAATCAATTGGGGCCCCCTGGAGGTCAGGGCCTCTTGGCACGTGCCCTGCGTGCCCGTTCAGTAATTCAGCCATTATGTCAACATGTTTAGACAGCTGGCTAGAGTAACTAAACTAATTTACCAATCAAAACATTTTTAACTGACATGGGCTAATTGAGTGACTGTCAGTGAGTGACTTAAGAGGAGAACAGCTGATGAACAACTAAGTTTCTAAATGTCACCTTATGTTTACTGCTATTCTCTCAACAGTAAGTTGAGACCCCACTGAGTTTTTTAATTAGGAAAAATGACAGAAGTATGAGTATAGTTGACTCATGTTTCTCTCTCTGTGTCTCAGACACACAAACACACACACAACCTCATTGGGATGACATCACTGTCAGAGACACCTCTGATTGGCAGATCTGTACACCAGTGCTTTTGGCATCACCAGATGATCCAATAGAGAAGTATGGGTAGAGCGTCTCAGTGAATGTGTCTTTATGAGTGTAGATGAGTGTCATGTCTTTGGAGTCGTAGAAGGACACCTCCCCCCGGTCGTAGTCCAGCTGCACTCTGATCCTCTGGGGTATCCTCTTCAGGAGGAGGGTCTCTCCTATTCCATTACTATACTCACCACCACTCCTCTGCAGTATAGCCCAGATTCCATACTCTGGTGATACAGTCAGCTCCCCTTTCTTGTCAACTGACTCTTTAGCCACGCCCAGGTTCCAGATAGGATGGTCCCCCACCTCCACCTCCCAGCTGTGTTTACCTGAGCTGAACCCCTTAGAGCCCAGAACATCTGCATACTTCATGCATCTCTCAGGGTTGTCAGGGAGCTGCTGCTTTGGGCCAGTCTGACTCACACTGGTCAGATCATCAGACAGAGAGAGCCAGGGGGATGCAGTGTTGGGGTCCAGAATCACAGGAGCTTCAGAACAAAGGCAGAGATATTCCACACATTATACCATGTATCTTTTTTCATATACACTAAGAATACTACTTAAAATAGCCTACTTAATTCAAATCTATCTTACATTATTCTCAATCATGTCCTCTCCTATCCAGTACTCACTGTGTTTGACGATCCCCTGCATCTTCTCCCAGACTCTGAACGTTCAGGTTGCCCAGGTGTTTGGCCACGTCTATCAGCGCCCCTGACAACAGCTGTGGATCCGTCATTGTGCACTGGGCTCTAGAATAACATTCAGGAGTCAGCACTTCTGTGGGGTTGGGTTCACAACCACAGAGAAGCGAGAGACGAGAAGCAGATCACTTACCTTTCCTTCATGGTCTTGAAGTTCTGGAAAGTAGAGTATATAGTCATCAATATCATTGATTCATCTATCAATCTTTTAGTTAATTTATAATCTATGTTTGAGAGAGAGCAGTCCTTACCTGCAGGAATGAGATATCTTCATCTTTCAGCTCCCCCTCTATGGCTCTGATTGTGTCTGAAAGTGATGAAATCTCTCTGTTCATCTGCTCAATCTTCTCCTTCATCTTCTGACTCTTCTGCTTCTCTTCCTCTTTCAGAGCAGCTATCCTGGCCTCCTCTTCCTCTCGTAGAAACTGGTGAAGTTTCTCAAACTCCTTCTTAATCTGCTTCTCTGTGTGCTGGGCCTGGCTCTGGAGACAGTGAGAAGAATATCTCATTCTATAATTATTATCAGAATAAAATCCTACATGTAGGCTACAATTCAAACAATACATGCTGTACTATTGCAACTTAGCATGGTTTATACTAACCTTAATGTGCCCTGCTGTTTGATCACAGGTTTGTTTAACTTCATTAAAGACCTTCAGCTTCTCCTGTAAGGGCTTCAGGTCAGTCTGGAGTTCCTCCTGGAATGAGACAGAACCTCACTGAGGAGACAACCTCTGGACTCACTTCATAGGAGAGAGCATGTCTGTACAACACATCTCTATCACTGCAGATACTTATTATCCTTGTTTTAAGATTCAATGTCAGAGATACCTATGTTTTCACTCAGGATCTCTAAGACTATTTAGAATGTATCAGAAAATGAAATTCACAATCATTCAGTCAACACAATGTGCAGAAAATCAATCTATTATCTAAATGAGGAGGACTCATAAAGAAAACATTTATAACTTCATGTTCCATAGTTTTTTAGTATTGATCTATCACCTATTTTCTATCAAAATCTTTCTCCTACCTTGTGATCCTGTACAGCCTCATCTACAGGGATGCAGTCATGAGCTTTATGTTTCTTTGAGACCTGACACACCAAACAGATGGGCTCTTTATCCTCCAGACAGAACAGCCTGAGTTTCTCACTGTGCAGACTGCAGAGCACCTTGGACCCTGTGGTTGGACTTATCAGATCTGTCTGTCTCCTTTCCTGTAAGGCCTCACAGAGGTTCTTTAGAGAGAGGTTTGTAGGAGGATGATCCTTAGACGATCTTCTCCTGCAAACTGGACATTCCCGAGATTCCTTGTCTTCCCAGCATTCCTTTAGACAGGCTTGGCAGAAACTGTGGCTGCATGACAACATGACAGGATCCTTAAAGATGTCAAGGCACACCGTACAGGAGAAATCCTCCTCTGTGAGAGACGAACTAGAAGCCATTTTCTCACGCTGTGTCACTAGGTTTTTGTCTAGAAGGGATACAGCTTTATCAAAATTGATAGCAGGTTTAGGATAACCTACGCAGCAGGTTAGGAAAATTAATGTAGCAGGTTAGGATAATTAGCTTAAAGTTAGGAAAAGGGTTAGTGTTGGCTAAAATGCAAAACAATTATTACTTTTGATTTTAATTTGACAAAAGCTGTATCCCATCTAGAGATGACAGTGTCACTCCCTGTCCTGGAACGATATCTGAAAGTTACTTTCAGTCTTAAAGAGGAAACTTAATTCAAAACAAGTCAAGCTGCATGTAAAGGTCACAGTTTTAATGATATTACCTTGTATTGGTTGGTTTAACACCCTGATATTTCAGAACAATCTAAATAAAATCCCAGAGTTCCGTTGTGTCAGACAGACATGAGTCCTGGAGAGTTATTAAAGTTACAGCACTGAGATGCACTTTAGTCGTCAGGTGACTCGGGGGTGGAGTTTACTGGAAACCTGGGCCAGATTTCAATAGTCTCTGGTCCTGTTTGAATACTTAACATGGACCCCACCCTTGTGAATACATGCATCCATTTACAAACAGGGCCAATGACAGTGGATTTGCACACTGTGCACTTCTTCCCTGTATGTTTTATTCTCTATGTAAAACATTATTATTGACCTGCACATCACAGCTTTACCCATCACAAAATTACAAAAACTGTCTTTACATTTGTAGACCATGGCATAACATAGCAGGTCCTCTGTAGCTCAGCTGGTAGTGCACGGCGCTTGTAACGCCAGGGTAGTGGGTTCGATCCCCGGGACCACCCATACACAAAAATGTAAGCACGCATGACTGTAAGTCACTCTGGATAAGAGCGTCTGCTAAATGACTAAAATGTAACATGAACCATTTAAAATGACTTTCAAGTCTACTTTTATTTAAAAACAGACAAATTTAAACAGCACTTCGGTTTTAAATACTTTGTCCCCTGATTGAGGCCTGTAGATCTTTTTCAAATGTAAACAATGTTATCTACAAAACAGATGGCATAAAATATGAGCTCTCCACTAGTCAGTCAGTTTTTACAAACAATAACGCCTGACAAAACTTGTTGCAGCAAACTATCCCTTTAACATAAGAGGAATGTAGTGCTGGTTTCTCATTCGTTCATAGCTGGGAGAACCAGTACAAACAAACAAAAAGTCACAATAATGACAGTTCTACTTCATCCATCAACAGGGTAATGATCCTGTACAAAACATTGGCTTGATGATAGCTCTCCTTATACAGCAGACTACTCTGAATTCTCCCACCTCAGACGTGCTCACTGGATCCCATTCAGGTTCTTGTGGCACAAAATGGCTGCCATCATTTAGCGCCATAGAGATAGATAAAGGACTCATCATGGATTTACCCTTGCCATTGCTACTGGCATTGACATCATCCATCATTTTAAAGTAGTCACGTAGTCAACTGAGTTGTAGCCTCAGTGGCGCTGCCCATGATGTCACAGACGCTGTATTGGCTCAGACATAAAAATTGGTCCTCAATCTATCTATCTATCTATGTTTATCACCTACGTGGATGGTCCATGTTAGCGGAGACACCAAAACACAATATAAACTAAATGTGTTGTGCTAGTGAGGATATGAGCTGTATAAATGCAATGTATTCTTACCATTTACAACCTGCAGGGTTTATGGCAACAGCCATGTCCTCTTTAAGGACAATAACCATCATCTTCACCACCATCATGGTCTTCAGACATATTGTTCCATATTTCTGATCAAGGCAGACAGACACACATTATTTGGATAAATATTTATTACCAGTTAGCAGGGCTCAGTCCATGACAGAATATTCTGATTCCCTTTGTCCACAGTTTGTAGAGTCCATTCATCATACTGTTGATCAATAAGATAGGAACGTCCTACCCTTGGTGAGCCAATCATTCGGAAGCAAATTTCCACTGGGGAGGGTAAAAAGTGTATCTGTGTACTAGTCCAGTCGAAGTCCTGTAACAGCTGATTGTAGTGTGTGTGTGTGTGTGTGTGTGTGTGTGTGTGTGTGTGTGTGTGTGTAAATGTGTGTATGTGTGTGTGTGTGTGTGTGTTAGTCCAGTCTGAGGGCCTCTCTGTGCTGCTAGGTTCTCCTAGATGTCGTCCCGTGTTGGGGAGAAGAGAGCTGCTAGTGCTCCACTCTCACTGGGCTCCACAATGTCTCTTTTCTCTGGCTTGGGCTTCTTAAAGAGAGACGGAAGATTTCGGATACAGTGCCTTGCAAAAGTATTCATCCCCCTTGGCGTTTTTCCTATTTTGTTGCATTACAACATGTAATTTAAATTGATTTTTATTTGGATTTCATGTAATGGACATACACAAAATAGTCCAAATTGGTGAAGTGAAATGTAAAAAATAACTTGTTAAAAGGAAATTCGAATTAATAAATAATGGAAAAGTGGTGTGTGCAAATGTATTCACCCCCTTTGGTATGAAGCCCCTAAATAAGATCTGGTGCAACCAATTACCTTCAGAAGTCATATAATTAGTTAAATAAAGTCCACCTGTGTGCAATCTAAGTGTCACATGATCTGTCACATGATCTCAGTATATATACACCTGTTCTGAAAGGCCCCAGAGTCTGCAACACCACTAAGCAAGGCCAAGCAAGAGGCACCATGAAAACCAAGGAGATCTCCAAACAGGTCAGGGACAATGTTGTGGAGAAGTACAGATCAGGGTTGGGTTATAAAAAAATATCTGAAACTTTGAACATCCCACGGAGCACCATTAAATCCATTATTAAAAAATGGAAAGACTATGGCACCACAACAAACCTGCCAAGAGAGGGCCGCCCACCAAAACCCACGGACCAGGCAAGGAGGACATTAATCAGAGGCAACAAAGAGACCAAAGATAACCCTGAAGGAGCTGCAAAGCACAACAGCGGAGATTCGAGTATCTGTCCATAGGACCACTTTAAGCCATACATTCCACAGAGCTGGGCTTTATGAAAGAGTGGCCAGAAAAAAGCCATTGCTTAAAGAACAAAATAAGCAACACGTTGTGTTAGCCAAAAGCCATGTGGGAGACTCCCCAAACATATGGAAGAAGGTACTCTGGTCAGATGAGACTAAAATTGAGCTTTTTGGCTGTGGTCCTCTGTAGCTCAGCTGGTAGAGCACGGTGCTTGTAACGCCAAGGTAGTGGGTTCGATCCCCGGGACCACCCATACACACACAAAAAAGACAAAAAATAATATGTATGCACGCATGACTGTAAGTCGCTTTGGATAAAAGCGTCTGCTAAATGGCATATTATTATTAGAAGGAAAACGCTATGTCTGGTGCAAAGCCAACACCTCTCATCACCCCGAGAACACCATCCCCACAGTGAAGCATGTTGGTGGCAGCATCATGCTGTGGGGATGTTTTTCATCGGCAGAGACATGGAAACTGGTCAGAATTGAAGGAATGATGGATGGCGCTAAATACAGGGACATTCTTGAGGGAAACCTGTTTCAGTCTTCCAGAGATTTGAGACTGGACATAAATCCACATGGTGCATATAAAGAAATACACACACACTCCTATTTGTTGTGTTGGGTAGAGAGCCAGAGAAGCAGGGATTGTAGCTGCAGAGCCATTTGTTGTGGACCTCTTTGGGCTGCAGGCAGAGGAGAGGACACAGTGATGGAGGTAGAGCTCAGAGCTCCTCACTGTGGGGGCAAGCTGTTCATTTCAGTAACAAGACACGTTTTTCTCAGTGAACACTGATCCTCATTAGAAACAAATTAACCACTAATTGAGCACAGACCCTCAACCTTCAACCCTAAAACCAGTATTATGCCTCATCTGTCCATCTGCCTGTCAGTCTGTCTGTCTGCCACAAAACACAAAGAAATACCGTTTAATGGGTTGATGATGCTGTTAACTCTGTTGGTTAAATGTCCCTGTAAATTCCACCAGGTCTTACCAGGTACAGTATAACAGGCAGGTAGCTAGAGGTCTAGCTCTGTGTACCATAATGAACAGATTCCACAGCATATGGAAGTGACAGCCGTGAGAGTCACAGGCCAGGAGAGAGAGACATGGGTGTAGTTGACACAGAGACGTAGGGATACAGAGATAGAGTGATACAGAGGAGATATAAAGAGAGAAAGCTGTCCCATAGAGAGAGCAGCAATATGCAGAGAGAGAGAGAGAGAAAGAGAGAGCGAGAGACTGATTGAAAAAGCTTCTTCTACTTTCCCCAACCCACTAGTGGTTATCTCCACCCTGCTACCACAAAATACTTCTGACCTTCCACCATACAGCGGGTAAACACAAGTATTTCCTGTGACTGTGCCTCAAAACCAAATGTTTTACCTGTCCCACCACTCCACCCTGGACTGAACAGCCTTTACGACCAGGTCCACCTATACAAGGCAGCAGTGCCCCCTTCGCCAGGAACCCCTAAAGGGACATCACCCTCAACCGCAGCCCCAACACCTAACACAGGAGCAATAGATCAACAGACACCCGCCCAGACCAGCAGACACCTCTCAGACCTCGGGACCCCCACTCGCGAGAACCTCTGCGGTAGCCAATTTGATTAGTCGTCGTAGTCTTATGACTGGGGTGGGTTGGTAGAAGCAGCTATTAAGAAGCCTTTGTGGACCTAGACATGGCGCCTCCGGTACAGTAACAAAAATTAAGAGCAGCCGTGCGGTACGGGGAACCGGTACACCGGAGAGAAGTATATGTACAGTAGGTAGAGTAAATGTGCATAGACGGAGTAGCAGCGCTTAAAAGATGGGGGACAATGCAATTTGGGTAGCATTTGTTAGCTTTCAGGGTCTATGACTTGGGGTAGAGCTATAGAAGACCACCAGACGCCTCCGGTAGCTTACGTGGGTAGCGAGAGAAGTCATGACTAGGTGGCGGAGTCTTTGACAATTTTTAGGCCTCCTCTGACCGCCTGTTATAGAGGCTGAGGCAGGAGCTTGGCCCCAGTGATGTACTGGGCCGTACACACTACCCTCTGTAGTGGCTTGCGGTCGGAGGCCGAGCAGTTGCCATACCAGGCAGTGATGCAACCATTCAGGATGCTCTCATTGGGGCAGCTGTAGAACTTTTTGAGGATCTGAGGACCCATGCCAAATCTTTTCAGTCTCCTGAGGGGGAATAGGCTTTGTCGTGCCCTCTTCACGACTGTCTTGGTGTGTTTGGACCATGTTAGTTTGTTGGTGATGTGTACACCAAGGAACTTGAAGCTCTCAACCTGCTCCACTACAGCCCGTCGATGAGAATAGGGACATGCTCAGTCTTATTTTTTTTCCTGTAGTCCACAATCATCTCCTTTGTCTTTATCACGTTGAGGGAGAGGTTGTTGTCCTGGCACCACACGGCCAGGTCTCTGACCTCCTCCCTATATGCTGTCTCATCGTTGTCGGTGATCAGGCCTACCACTGTTGTATCGTCGGCAAACTTAATGATGGTGTTGGAGTCGTGCCTGGCCATGCGGTCATGGGTGAACAGGGAGTACAGGAGGGGACTGAGCTGAGGGGCGCCCGTGTTGAGGATCAGCCTGGCAGATGTGGACACTTTATGGAACACAAAGCCCAGGCACTATCTCATCCTGGAATATTCAAGGTCTGATGTCATCTGCCTTTGGCCTAAAGAGCAGGAACCTGGACTTCACCAAATAAATAAAAAATACAGACATTGTCATCTGACAAGAAACATGGTATAGAGGAGATGGACCCACTGGTTGCTCTCTAGGTTACAGAGAGCTGGTAGTCCCATCCACCAAACTACCAGGAGTGAAACAGGGAAGGGACTCAGGGGGTATGCTAATTTGGTATAGAGCAGACCTAACTCACTCTATTAAATTAACCAAAACAGGAACATTTGACTAGAAATTCAAAAGGAAATTATCTCAACAAAGGAAAATGTCCTCCTGTGTGCTACATATATCCCCCCACTAGAATCACCATACTTTAATGAAGGAAGCATCTCCATCCTGGAGGGGGAAATCAATCATTTCCAGGCCCAGGGACATGTACTAGTCTGTGGCGACCTAAAATGCCACAATTGGACAAGAACCTGACACCCTCAGCACACAGGGGGACAAACACCTACCTGGAGGTGACAGCATTCCCTCCCCCATATGCCCCCCCTAGGCACAACTATGACAACATAACCAACAAAAACGGTTCACAACTCCTGCAGCTCTGTCACACGCTGGGTATGTACATAGTCAATGGTAGGCTTCAAGGGGACTCCTACAGTAGGTACACCTATAGCTCATCTCTTGGCAGTAGTACTGTAGACTACTTTATCACTGACCTCAACCCAGAGTCTCTCAGAGCGTTCACAGTCAGCCCACTGACACCCCTATCAGATCACAGCAAAATCACAGTCTACTTGAACAGAGCAATCACCCTAATTGACAAACAAACAAACTAAAACAAAGGCAAAGTCTTCCCATGCTTTGTTGATTTCAAAAAAGCTTTTGACTCAATTTGTCTGCTATACAAATTGATGTAAAGTGGTGTTGGGGGAAAAACATACGACATTATAAAATCCATGTACACAAACAACAAGTGTGTGGTTAAAATTGACAAAAAACACACACATTTCTTTCCACAGGGCTGTGGGTGAGACAGGGATGCAGCTTAAGCCCCACCTTCTTCAACATATATATCAACAAATTGGCGATGGCACTAGAACAGTCTGAAGCACCCGGCCTCACCCTACTAAAATCTGACGTCAAATGTCTACTGTTTGCTGATGATCTGGTGCTTCTGTCACCAACCAAGGAGGGCCTACAGCAGCACCTAGATCATCTGCACATATTCTGTCAGACCTGGGCCCTGATAGTGAATCTAGGTATCATCCAAAAGGCTTTGATTAAATTTCCAATATCCTCGCCCACGTGGAAATTCAGTAAGAGTAATGTACAGTGGGGAAAAAAAGTATTTAGTCAGCCACCAATTGTGCAAGTTCTCCCACTTAAAAATATGAGAGAGGCCTGTAATTTTCATCATAGGTACACGTCAACTATGACAGACAAAATGAGAAAAAAAAATCCAGAAAATCACATTGTAGAATTTTTAATGCATTTATTGGCATATGATGGTGGAAAATAAGTATTTGGTCAATAACAAAAGTTTCTCAATACTTTGTTATATACCCTTTGTTGGCAATGACACAGGTCAAACGTTTTCTGTAAGTCTTCACAAGGTTTTCACACACTGTTGCTGGTATTTTGGCCCATTCCTCCATGCAGATCTCCTCTAGAGCAGTGATGTTTTGGGGCTGTCGCTGGGCAACACAGACTTTCAACTCCCTCCAAAGATTTTCTATGGGGTTGAGATCTGGAGACTGGCTAGGCCACTCCAGGACCTTGAAATGCTTCTTACGAAGCCACTCCTTCGTTGCCCGGGCGGTGTGTTTGGGATCATTGTCATGCTGAAAGACCCAGCCACGTTTCATCTTCAATGCGCTTGCTGATGGAAGGAGGGTTTCACTCAAAATCTCACGATACATGGCCCCATTCATTCTTTCCTTTACACGGATCAGTCGTCCTGGTCCCTTTGCAGAAAAACAGCCCCAAAGCATGATGTTTCCAACCCCATGCTTCACAGTAGGTATGGTGTTCTTTGGATGCAACTCAGCATTCTTTGTCCTCCAAACATGACGAGTTGAGTTTTTACCAAAAAGTTATATTTTGGTTTCATCTGACCATATGACATTCTCCCAATCCTCTTCTGGATCATCCAAATGCACTTCAGACGGGCCTGGACATGTACTGGCTTAAGCAGGGGGACACGTCTCGCACTGCAGGATTTGAGTCCCTGGCGGCGTAGTGTGTTACTGATGGTAGGCTTTGTTACTTTGGTCCCAGCTCTCTGCAGGTCATTCACTAGGTCCCCCCGTGTGGTTCTGGGATTTTTGCTCACCGTTCTTGTGATCATTTTGACCCCACGGGGTGAGATCTTGCGTGGAGCCCCAGATCGAGGGAGATTATCAGTGGTCTTGTATGTCTTCCATTTCCTAATAATTGCTCCCACAGTTGATTTCTTCAAACCAAGCTGCTTACCTATTGCAGATTCAGTCTTCCCAGCCTGGTGCAGGTCTACAATTTTGTTTTTGGTGTCCTTTGACAGCTCTTTGGTCTTGGCCATTGTGGAGTTTGGAGTGTGACTGTTTGAGGTTGTGGACAGGTGTCTTTTATACTGATAACAAGTTCAAACAGGTGCCATTAATACAGGTAACGAGTGGAGGACAGAGGAGCCTCTTAAAGAAGAAGTTACAGGTCTGTGAGAGCCAGAAATCTTGCTTGTTTGTAGGTGACCAAATACTTATTTTCCACCATAATTTGCAAATAAATTCATTAAAAATCCTACAATGGGATTTTTTTGATTTTTTTTCTCAATTTGTCTGTCATAGTTGACATGTACCTATGATGAAAATTACAGGCCTCTCTCATCTTTTTAAGTGGGAGAACTTGCACAATTGGTGGCTGACTAAATACTTTTTTCCCCCACTGTATATGCCAATTATATGATGGTCTGACCGCATTCTGTCCCCTATCAACACTTTTTTAACTTTTGGTGCCAACGAGAATTACATAAGAAAGAAGTCAAGACGACTAGCTTGATTGAGTCCCCGCCATGTACTGTATATCTCACTAGATCAGGATATTTAAGCCTCCATATATCTACTGTATCCATGACATTCACGATTTCCTTAAGAGCATGAGGGTGATAGTTTGTAGTGTTATTTCCTTTACGATCCATTGAGCTATTTAAAACGGTATTATATAATCTCCCACCATAATAATAGAGTCTTGAATTGCTTGCAGAGTTGATAATTTATTATACACTGCTCAAAAAAATAAAGGGAACACTTAAACAACACAATGTAACTCCAAGTCAATCACACTTCTGTGAAATCAAACTGTCCACTTAGGAAGCAACACTGATTGACAATACATTTCACATGCTGTTGTGCAAATGGAATAGACAACAGGTGGAAATTATAGGCAATTAGCAAGACACCCCCAATAAAGGACTGGTTTTGCAGGTGGTGACCACAGACCACTTCTCAGTTCCTATGCTTCCTGGCTGATGTTTTGGTCACTTTTGAATGCTGGCGGTGCTTTCACTCTAGTGGTAGCATGAGACGGAGTCTACAACCCACAGGTAGTGGCTCAGGTAGTGCAGCTCATCCAGGATGGCACATCAATGCGAGCTGTGGCAAGAAGGTTTGCTGTGTCTGTCAGCGTAGTGTCCAGAGCATGGAGGCGCTACCAGGAGACAGGCCAGTACATCAGGAGACGTGGAGGAGACCGTAGGAGGGCAACAACCCATCAGCAGGACTGCTACCACCGCCTTTGTGCAAGGAGGAGCAGGAGGAGCACTGCCAGAGCCCTGCAAAATGACCTCCAGCAGGCCACAAATGTGCATGTGTCTGCTCAAACAGTCAGAAACAGACTCCATGAGGGTGGTATGAGGGCCCGACGTCCACAGGTGGGGGTTGTGCTTACAGCCCAACACCGTGCAGGACGTTTGGCATCTGCCAGAGAACACCAAGATTGGCAAATTCGCCACTGGCGTCCTGTGCTCTTCACAGATGAAAGCAGGTTCACACTGAGCACATGTGACAGACGTGACAGAGTCTGGAGACGCCGTGGAGAACGTTCTGCTGCCAGCAACATCCTCCAGCATGACCGGTTTAGCGGTGGGTCAGTCATGGTGTGGGGTGGCATTTCTTTGGGGGGCCTCCATGTGCTCGCCAGAGGTAGCCTGACTGCCATTAGGTACCGAGATGAGATCCTCAGACCCCTTGTGAGACCATATGCTGGTGCGGTTGGACCTGGGTTCCTCCTAATGCAAGACAATGCTAGACCTCATATGGCTGGAGTGTGTCAGCAGTTCCTGCAAGAGGAAGGCATTGATGCTATGGACTGGCCCGCCCGTTCCCCAGACCTGAATCTAATTGAGCACATCTGGGACATCATGTCTCGCTCCATCCACCAATGCCACGTTGCACCACAGACTGTCCAGGAGTTGGCGGATGCTTTAGTCCAGGTCTGGGAGGAGATCCCTCAGGAGACCATCCGCCACCTCATCAGGAGCATGCCCAGGCGTTGTAGGGAGGTCATACAGGCACGTGGAGGCCACACACACTACTGAGCCTCATTTTGACTTGTTTTAAGGACATTACATCAAAGTTGGATCAGCCTGTAGTGTGGTTTTCCACTTTAATTTTGAGGGTAACTCCAAATCCAGACCTCCATGGGTTGATACATTTGATGTCCATTGATCATTTTTGTGTGATTTTGTTGTCATCACATACAAAGAAAAAAGTATTTAATAAGATTATTTATTTCATTCAGATCTAGGATGTAATAATAAAATATTATGCCATTTAGCAGACGCTTTTATCCAAAGCGACTTACAGTCATGCGTGCATACATTTTTTTTGTGTATGGGTGGTCCCGGGGATCGAACCCACTACCTTGGCGTTTCAAGCGCCGTGCTCTACCAGCTGAGCTACAGAGGACCAGGATGTGTTATTTTAGTGTTCCCTTTATTTTTTTGAGCAGTGTATATATTTTCAAAGAAGTGTGGATCATCATTATTTGGTCCGTAAAGTTTAATGAGCCATTTCTGTTTATGGTCCAATAACATATTTAAAATAATCCATCTACCTTGCATATCTGTTTGGAAAATTTGCACATTCGGATCGAAATTACTGTTAATTAATATCATCACCCCTTTTGTGTTTCTTTGCCCATGGGAGAAGTATATTTCGCCCTATAACCCAGATTGCCATTGTATTACATTACATTTTTGACAATTATTTTAGCAAACAATTATTGTGGTTCATCCTATGTTCTCCCTAACATCCTTACCCCCTTGCAACAGATGTGGGATAAACATACACGCACATACTCTAACACACTCAACCCCTTTCCTCCACAATCAACCATAAGATTAGATGCTCAATGGTTGTTACATCCCAGAGCCCAACTCAAGAAAGGACCTGATTTACGAATGCATATACAGTTACAGCTGTTTGAGAAAGCATGGAAGATTGAGCAAAAATGGACAACAATGTGAGATTTGATTAATCTATTTAATCTATGTCAAGTCCTAGGTTTTAGTTGTCACTGTATTAGACTAAGCAGAGGTGATTTGATGATGTTGAAATGTTGAAGTTGAAATGGTGCTGGAATGGGGGGGGCTTGGCTTCCGCAGTGATTTTACCCATGCACCACTACTGGTTCACGGTTAGAGGGTCTTTCATGGTTTACTGCTGCGTGACAGGAGATACACGCAGGCACACGCATATGGTGACAGGAGTTAAGGTTTTACACACAGTTCATATGGAGCAGGGTGCTATCAACACCAGAGTTGTGATTTTGATTTCCACATGTAACAAATATACTGGAAATGTGGTACTGTGTTATTTCCTTATCCAAACAGAGGGGTTAACACTATCGACATTGACTTAACCTATGAAGAGCTTTTGAACACACAGATCTGGTTCTGTGTTACAGATGTCAACCAATGCGTTGGGCTTTGATGAGCACTGACTGATCTGTGTGTGTGTGTGTGTGTGTGTGTGTGTGTGTGTGTGTGTGTGTGTGTGTGTGTGTGAATTATGGATCTGATGAGCAGAGGACTGTCACTTATACCGGCTGTTTCAACATGTATATATAGCCTCCCTACTGTATATATAGCCTCCCTACTGTTATTTTATTTTACTTCTGCTCTTTTTTTTCTCAACACTTTTTTTGTTGTTGTTTTATTTTTACTTTTTTTGTTAAAAATAAATGCACTGTTGGTTAAGGGCTGTAAGTAAGCATTTCACTGTAATATCAGCACCTGTTGTTTTCGGCGCATGTGACCAATAAAATTTGATTTGATTTGATTTGGTGTGGTACCAGAAACATTGCAGGCATCCCTTGGCTCACACACAAACATGCATGAATGTGCATGCATACCCTTGCACAGGCCTGGCAAAAACCTGGCCATCAAAGCCAACCCCCCTCTATCTATCCATTATTTATTAACTCACACAAGAACACACATACCCATATACAGACATACATGTACACAAATGCACATATACACACCATCAAATACAGACAGACTACCCATACATATGGGAGCCCAGGATTGTCTGGAGTGATTCCTGTATCGTCCTCGTATCTCAGAGCAGGACATTTTCTGGTATAAAGATACTCCTCTACTGATAATTCTCTACTAACACTACCCTTCTGATACACACACACACACACACACACACACACAGACACACACACACATACACACACACCAGCCAAAACCCCACTTAGTTTAGTGATGAGTCAGACCTGACGTGTGTGTTGTCTGGAGAGTTGTATTGTGCTGTATAGAGGCTGAAAGAGGCCAGCCCAGTCATTACTATCCCAACATCAGCTCATTGCCACTAGATAGTCTATAGTGTTATCAGAGATGTCCAGCAGCCAGGGCTGGATCTAATGATTCATTAGAGAGATAACACACATTACAGAGAGACAGTATTAGAGAAGCAGAGCTAGGGAAGGACATTTCTGAACTTGTGGTGTGTGTGTAGTGTGTGAGTGTGAGTGTGAGTGTGAGTGTGAGTGTGAGTGTGTGTGTGTGTGTGTGTGTGTGTGTAGTGTGTGTGTGTGTGTATAACAATACAAAATATGTAAAGTGTCAATACTTGTTGACTTGCCTCAGGCCTATACACACCAATGGTATAGTTTAAGTGTGAGTGGGCCTAAGAATGGACGGCAGGCTGAAGACCTCCTAGCCACGGCAGGAGAAGGTGTGTGTGTAGCACGGTGTGATTTTAACACTTGGAGCTGAGCTGAGTTGAGGCTCATTACAGATACGGTCTGAGGAGTTCAGAGGTCAGGGCGGATCCAAAGCCACAGTGACAAGTGCAAATTGGACACTGCAGTCAGTGTCAACACCTCCCCCAAATCACACACACACACACACACACACACCTTCCATCCACCGACACACACACACACACTTCCCCCAAATCGCTCCAGCAGTCCAAGAATGTCCAATAAACCTTGTCCAGACAGGCTGTGTCCTCTTTTACACCTTCCCCCCTTTCCTCCCTTCTCTTCACCCTCTCTTATCCCCCTCTCCTCCTCTTCAAGTCAATGTAAAGGCCTGTACTCTGCCCCAGTAGCTGTCTACCCCAATACTACACTAATATCAGCCTTAACGGTACTTGTTCAATCACCTTGATGACTATATCACGGTCCTGGAGTATGGAGAGTTTATATTGTTAACTAACCTCTACATAGAGACCAATAACCTTCTACATGATCTGCACACACACACACACACACACACACACAAACATTTACATAATTTAGCAGACGCTCTTATCTAGAGCGACTTACAAATTGGTGCATTCAATTTGTAAGTCGCATTCAATAATTGGTTGATACAAACAATTATTGATGGGTTAGGACTGGGGATATCTGTATCATGTTTTGTGTGTACTACCATCTTTAGATTATAACCAGGAGAAGGAGAGATAAAGTAGAGAATATTTATATTTGCATTTTTGGTCATTTAGTTAAATTAAGTGGTCTAATGGTATTACTATTACCCATTTGAGTTTTTAACTAAAAATATTAGACCAATAACATTAAAAGCACTTTTTATACAAAATATTGGAGTCAGTAAGGTTTTAAATTAGAATTAAGAATAAATAAAGTTCTTAAAACAAAAGTATAGATACAACAACATTGGCTAAAATGACAGATAAAGTAATTAAAGTGTTGAAATCCGCCCTCGAGATAAATGGGGGAAAAGACGGGAAGGAATGGAAGAGGAGAGGAGAAAAGTTATACAAAGAATGGATTGCAGATGGATGGATAATGGCAATGAATGGAATCCCAGGGGAAGGAGAACCGAGGACAATAATGACAGCCCTGAAGAAGAGAACAGAGAAGGCAGTAAGTGAGTGGAAGGAGGAAAGGAAGTCCAAAGACGCGATGGAGAAAGCCAGGTTAAAGGAGCGGATTGGTTTGGCTATGTTGGAGAAACTGAAGAAAATGTGGGAAGACAAAGCACCACCCAAGATAACGAATCGGTTGTATCCAGCCCTGCCATCGGCCCCACCGCCATATGAAAACCCTCCAAAAACAATGCCAGTGCTGGAACTGACTGGGCAGGTACAGTATCAGCAGAAAGATGGCGTGCTGCAGGATACATGGGTGGGGGAAGAGGAGGTGAATAGACGAAGAAGTGACATCGAACAGATGTTGAAAGCCGCACGAGAACTGAAAGAACAGATTTCTCAGCTGAGTAGACTGGATAAAGAGGAAGAAGGCTCAGAGAGAAGTACAGAGTACCGGGACTTGTGTCAAACCAGAGCAAGTGAGAGAGAGAATGAGGAAGTAGGAGGAAGAAGTACAGCCAGTTCAACCAGTTATGACAACAATGCCGAATTAAGAAAGGAACTGAAAGTACTGGAACAGCAAGTGAGAGAAGACAGAAAGGAGTTGGCACTCACATCACTGCAAAGAACACCAGAGCCAAGGGGGGGCCATTGTATTGATCTGGGAGAAGAAGAGGAAGAGTATGAAGACACAAAGCCGACAAAAATGCTCTATGGAGCTTTCCAAGGAGACATTTGGGATGAGGAAGGGCCTGCACAACGCACACAGGCCAAAACTCAAGGGAGAGGGGGTAACTGTGGGGGTCAGTATCCTCTGAGAGAAACAACAGGGGGAGCTTCAGTATACAAGCCCTGGCCACACAGGGATGTGCAAACTCTGGTTGACAGTTTACCCCAGCCTGAAGAATCAGGACACAGGTGGGTGAAGGCTTTTGAGAGCCTTACTGCAGCAGATGAACTCACCATAGGGGATATGGTGGCAGTGATGAACAGGTGCATGGGAGATCAAGAATGCCAAGAGATACTTACACAAGCAGGTCTGAGAGGAATAGTAGGAGCAGCAACTGGATTTGATCGATACCGAACTGTCATATAGGATGCAGTTAGAAGGAAGTATCCCACTCAGGCAAGGCCAGATCTCATGAGAACACTGACATTGAATGATGATGAAACCATACCAGCCTACATGAAGATGGTCTCCCGAGTGGCGCAGTGGTCTAAGGCTGTGCCACTAGAGATCCTGGTTCGAATCCAGGCTCTGCTGTAGCCGGCCGCAACCGTGAGACCAATGGGGCGGCGCACAATTGGCCCAGCGTCGTCCAGGGTAGGGGAGGGAATGGCCGGCAGGGAGGTAGCTCAGTTGGTAGAGCATGGCGTTTGCAACGCCAGGGTTGTGGGTTCGATTCCCATGGGGTATGAAAATTAAAAAGAATAATGTATGCACTAACTGTAAGTCGCTCTGGATAAGAGCGTCTGCTAAATGACGTAAATGTAAATGTAAGAGAGCAAAGTGCCTCTGGAGACAAGCATGGAATGAAGAGCCAAACCAAGAATGCAATGAGTCACCTCTTCCTGGCAAGTTGTCTGGGAGGACTCCCTGACCAGGCACGGGTAGAGTGTGAGAAGGTTGTAGCACTCACAGCAAAATCCATCCCAGAGTTCACAGAAATAGCCCAACATCATGTGGAGCGATGGAGGGAAGGCAAAAGGAAGGAGGAAGACAAACTAAAGCAGCTACAGAAGAAAGTTTTGAAAAAACTAGCTGAAGACAAACCAGGCAAACAGATGGTTGTGACCAGTACCCCGAATGCACAGGGTGTGCCAGGTATTGATCCAGCTGCAGCCGCGGCTGCTGCAGTAGTACAGGCAATGGCTGGGATGATGGCACCCCAGATGATGGCTCCTGTGGGGCCAAATGGGTATTTCTCTGTCGGGATGTACACAGAACCAGACCCACCTCAACAGCCTGGCTATGCACCCCGCAGATAGAGGATGTTTTAATTGTGGGAAAGAAGGACACATGGCAAGATTTTGCCCACACTCACACCAGCTATCAAGACAACAAAAAGGAAGAGGGTATGGTGGACAGCAAAGAAGAGGAATGCCAAGGTTCCAACAGGGACGAGGAAGCTGGCAAGGAGGCCTTCAATTTCAATCACCTCAACAATACCCTGGAGAAAACAATGGGCAGCCTCAACCAGTGCCCAATGCTGCACTGCTACCAAGTATGTCATGGATGGGAATGCAACACCCCAACCAGGACCCCCAATGAAGCTGCCCAGAAACCCAATATAACCTCAACACCAACATCTACTCATTTCCACCAGGGTCAGAACCGGTAGTGTCTTGTTTAATTGGAGGAAGAAAACATAATATGTTGATTGATACAGGATGTACATGGTCTTCTGTACAAGCATCATATCCACTCACTACCAAGACACAAGCTTTCTCTGGGGTTTCTGGGGCTATTATGAGAAAGCCATATACAGTTCCATTGGAAGTTGTATGGGATGACCTGCAAGTAACTCACCAGTTTCTCTACAATCCAGAGTGTTCGGTGGGGTTAATGGGAAGGGACTTGCTCTCCAAGCTGGGATGCAGCATCTATTGTAACCAAGAGGGACTGCATGCTTCTATCACACCTATTGATGAACTCATGCCAATACTCATGAAGGAACTCTCTGATCCCCCACGCATGCTGTACATGGGAACACACTCAGAAGAGGAGGAGGAGGAAGAAGCATATGTGTATTGGCTGGAGTTAATGGATACTGACCCTGATGCTCCCAGTGTATGCAGAGAGTTCCAGCTATGGAAGGCATGGATACAGACTTTGAACGCATACTACCCTCCTGAGGACCCTCCACACGTCACAATGAATTACACCAGAGACCTGGATGAAGCATATGATGAAGCATGGGAAGAAGAAATGGAGGACAGACGACCAAATGTGACAAGCAATCACATGTACATACTCAAAGGAGTAGTGGCAACCAGTTGCATGGTAATGGATGGAGATGTGGTACTGACAGACAAATGGTACGCCCTTCCTGGTGACTCTGTACCACATGTTACTCTCCTAGTAGGGTTTGGCTATGAGGCAAGATCATTGGGACCAGCAGTAAAGAAGGCAAGCTGCCTGCAGTGGAGCAAGAGCGCCTGTTACAAGATTCAAAGCTCAGTCATGGATGGAAATCAGGTTTGGAGAATCTTACTAAACGTGGATGACATTGGAAAACCTGAAGTGGTGAGAAGATCTCGTTACCATGGAAGAGAAATGACTGACCATCCAGACACGGTCAACATTTTCAACCAATTACCAGAACAACTGTGGACATCAACTGCTGAGGATGTGGGGCTGGTTGATATAGAACCAGTGGTGGTCTCAATTCGAAAGGACAGCGGCCTTACTGTTCCAGTTTGCCAATACCCACTCAGTGAAGAAAAGACAAGGGGAATTGAGCCTACAATATCAGGACTTCAAAAAGGGCAAGTCATATATCCAACCTGCTCCAACTGGAACACTCCCATCTTACCAGTAAAGAAAGGTGACACTGGAAAATGGAGGATGGGGCAGGACTTCAGACCAATCAACGAGGTAACTGTACCGGATGTTAGACCTGTACCAGACCCATATCTGGCCCTGCAGAACATCTCACCCACCCAAGACTGGCTTACAGTAGTGGACCTTGCTAATGCATTTTTGCTGCATCCCGTTACACCCAGTGTCTCAGCCACTATTTGCATTCACCTACAGAGGACAGCAATTCACCTATTCTTGTCTTCCACAAGGATATTGTGATTCCCCAGGAATCTTCAACACTATCCTGAAGAGTCACTTGGAAGAGTTAACATTACCAGAAGGGGTGACACTGCTTCAATACGTTGATGATCTCCTGTTGGCAGCACCCACTGCTGAGTCTTGTTTGCAGGCAACCAAGTCCCTTCTCCTCTTGGTAGCTAAGAAAGGGTATAAGGTGAAGAAAGAGAAAGTGCAGTGCTGTAGGAGAAGTGTACAGTTCCTGGGGAGAGTACTGTCAGGAAAGGGACAAGCTGTCTCTACGGCCCAGAGGACATCAATCTTGGAACATCCCAAACCCACTACTGTACAACACCTTTTGTCATTTCTTGGCCTTACTGGATACAGCAGAACACACGTGCCAGAATACTGTCTTAAAGTGGAACCACTGCGGGCAATCTTGAGAGAAGCAGGAAACATAAATCTCACAGCAGTCCTTAAGTGGACTCCAGAGGCAGAGGCAGCTTTCATCCAACTCAAACAGACACTATCACAGGCTGAAGCACTGTCCTTACCTGATTATACCACGCCATTCTGTTTGGATGTTTCTGAGAGGGACGGTTATGTGCATTCCATCCTGTATCAGAAACAAAAGGGGGAGAGAAGAGTGTTACATTACTACAGTGCAAAACTGGACAACATTGAGACAGGACAAACTGACTGTGCCAGACACATGGCTGCCATTGCTAAAGCTGTAGGCAAAACAGCTCACATTGTAATGAGACATCCGCTTGAAATCAACACATACCATGGAGTGACAGCTTTTATTGGTTCTAAACTTTTCACACTGTCCAGCAAAAGGAAATCCAATATAACAAAGGCCATCACTGCAAAACACATTACCTATGTGACAACCACAACCAACATGACTGATGGCATGGGTCAGGGAGAACCACATGTATGTGAAGACAGGGCACCCAAACAAATCAAGGTTCGGATGGATCTACAGAACTCACCCCTGGAGGGCAACAAGACCACCCTGTTTACAGATGGATGCTGCTACAGGTCAAAAGACCCAAAGGAAGGGAACATTGCTGCCTATGCTGTGGTAAAGCAAGACAAAGAAGGAGAACACAAAGTCATTGAAGCAAAAAAACTGGGTCCCAATGAAAGTTCAGCACAGCTAGCTGAATTTAGGGCGTTGAGGAGAGCTCTACAACTAAGTGAAGGGAAGAATGTGGACATCTACACAGACTCTGCCTATGCACATGGGATTGCACACATTGATGGACCACAGTGGATGAGGAGAGGATTTGTGACCAGCTCAAATGAGCCCATCAAACACAAGGTTGAAGTACAGAAGTTAATTGATGCAATCCAGCTTCCCAAACGAGTGGCAATAATGAAGTGCAAAGGTCACAGCAGAGAAAGCACCAGAGTGCGTGAAGGAAATGATCGGGCTGATCAAGCAGCAAAGGATGCAGGAGGATACACTGCCCAGCAGATGGTGCAACGAGCCACTCAAGGACAGGAGGAGTTGACGACAGACACAGTAAGACAGTTGCAAGAAGACGCAGGCGCCTACGAACAGAACGTATGGAGCAGACAGGGAGCAAGGCAAGACCATCATGGGATTTGGAGATCTCACACAGGAAAAACAGTGGGACCTGCAAAACTCCTCAGATCAATCTTAAGGGAAGAGCATGAGAAGGCTCATGGAGGATGGAAAAGTGTCACAAAATCAGTTGAGAAAGCATGGTGGCATCCACACATGTTGGATATGGCAAGAGAGACAGAGAGCTGTGAAGTGTGCAAACAATACAACAACAACGTGTCACTTGGAGCAGTAATAGGTAGCTTCCCAATACCTGATGCACCATTTCAAGATGTTTGCATAGACTTCACGGACATGGGACAGGACAACAGAGTGGAAGGAAAAAGGTACCTGTTGGTAATGGTGGACAGATTCACCAGATGGGTGGAAGCCATCCCCACAGCAAGAGAAGACGCAAAGACCGTGATTAAGTGGCTGAGGCGAGACCTCATTCCAAGGTTTGGAGTCCCGCGAATGATCCGTTCCGACAATGGTACCCATTTCAAGAATGAACACCTGAGAGAGGTAGAACAGGCCCTAGGGATCACTCACAAGTTCGGGTCAGTCTATCATCCCCAATCGCAGGGACTCGTTGAACGCGCTAACCAGACTCTGAAACGAAAAATGGCTAAAATCATGGCAGGCACCAAACTGAAATGGGTAGATGCCCTACCCCTTGCTCTAATGTCAATGAGAAATTCACCTGGGTCTGATACCCACTTGACTCCACAGGAGCTTATGACAGGACGCAGAATGCCAGGGCCACCAGCAGACAATCTTAGTATGCCTAGGCTAGATATTGCAAAAATCAGATACACAGATTACATGCAGGCGCTAATTTATCTTGTTGAAAGATTGTCTAAACAGGTGGTGGAAGTGCGCACTCCTGCTGTTGAAACCACGGACGAGAACAGAAACATCCTGGTGGGAGACTAGGTGAGAGTAAAGGTGCATTCCAGGAAGTGGACGGAGCCAAGGTGGGAGGGACCCTTTCAGGTGAAAGAGGTATCAAGTCACTCGCTGAGGGTAAACACGAGTAAGAAGGACGTGTGGTACCACAGAACACATTGTGCCAATGATATAGCTCCAGGAAGAACTCTAGATCAAGTACAACAGGACTTGGCTGCAGAAGGGGAGGATGTTATGGTTAGTAGTGGGTCTGGCCCTATGGGGAACAGTGACTTCCAGTCAGTATCATGATATAGTCATTACCTTACAGCAAGGGGAATCTCAAGTGATGTCCCTAGAACCATGTAAGATCTGGTCATGGAGGAATAGGGCTAGTGGAATTGGGGACACTGGTTGCAATTGGAACCAGAAGGAAAACTGTAACAAAATGTATCCCCATGTGTTAAATAGAGGTACTTATCTGTGTGAGGGAAAGTGGTGTCCATATTTGGGACTATATGATCACAAATGTTGGTACCTTCTGGGAATGGCGTAGAGGCTATCCATTTGCATTAGGAGATGCTTCTAAAGCAGCTAGGTTTTCAATGATAAGGGGTGTGCAGGGGTCAAAAGGGGGTGCATGTAAAGGCGATGAAATCCTACTAACCATCCAAGACATTAAACTTACAGACGCAGGTGTGTACACCTTAGCAGCAGTACGATCCGGACCAGACACCATGGGTATGTTCACCATTGCGGTCACACCCAAACCTGCAGCTGGGGAGAGACAGACCCAGTTGAACCACATCACCACTCCAGGACCAGCTCAGCTTCAACCCACTAAGATACCAAACCCCGTTCAGGTGATTAATGTTAGGGATATAACGGACAGCGACCAATTGGGGACAGAAACTGGCTATGAAGGGAAAGAAAATATGTGGTTGGCATACATGAGGTATACGGCTAGGACACTGGTCAGGCAGAATTGTGTTATCTGTGGGCATGCAAGACCTGGGTTGGCAACCCACCCATTCGCCTTAGGAGAAGGGGAAGGATGGCAGTGCATATTGGAAGAGTTCTACCATTCACTGCCAAACACCACCCTGTGCAAAGCCCTAAGTTTGATTTTCCCTGAGGTTCCCCCACAAAAGGCACCTGTGGGAGTTCAGGCTTATGGAGGTAATTACAGTTGCATTACTGGAACAGGTAAGGGTGTTAACTATGGTAGGCTACCACCAGGGGACTGTGCTGTGAATGTAACTATGAACATCAATTGGCCAGTAGAGGGTAAAACCCAGACAAAGGGGGTGGCTGATGTGTGGTGGATCTGTGGGCCAAATAGAAAACTAACCCCGATTCTAAAGGGGGACTGGCAGGGCACGTGTGCATTAGCTAGTTTAATTGTATCACTGACCATTATTGTTTCCTCAGACCAACTTTTGGGGATCGCCCAGCTAGCCCCAGACAGAGAGAGAATGAGGCGGGGGAGACGTAGTGCCCCATGGTCAGCAGGAGAGGAGATCCACTCTAACCTGTTGGGGGTGCCTGTGGGAGTACCATTACAGTTCCAGTCACTCAACAGGAATGATGGGTTGTGGCATTTGTTGCCAATCATAGGACCTGCCATAGATGCTGCTAAACAGCGATCTTGGATAAATTACATCTATTATAACCAACAGCGATTTGTTAACTACACACGCACTGCCCTGACTGGAATGTCTGAGCAACTAGAGGCCACCTCTAGGGTGGCTAGGCAAACTAGACTAGCACTTGACATGTTGCTTGCTAACCAAGGGGGTGTGTGTAAGATGTTTGGGGAACAATGCTGTACGTTTATTCCTACCAATACTAGCCCTGACGGGAGCATCACAAAGGCCCTTGTTGGCCTGGATAAGTTGTCAGCAGAAATGAAGAGCATGGCTGGAGTGGAGAGTGGTGGGCTGTTCTCCTGGTTGAGTGACTGGTTCGGTAAGTATTCTTCTATGATGGTTACTGGATTTCTGACCCTAGTAATTGTGTTTTTGCTGTTAATGTGTTGTGCTGCTTGCTTCATCCCCTGTCTCAGGAAGTCAGTGGTAGGAGTGGTGCAGGCGTCAGGTATGATGCCGTTGTTACCGGCCCAGGATGATGCGGGTGACTCTGCTACTGACTCTGAGACCAAGCTGGATGATCCATGGTTTGCCTAAAGAAAAAAAAAGAAAAAAGAAAAAAAACACGCATTTATTTTCAGTTCTTGCTCATTTATTACCTTATGTTTTTACTAACCACTGTGGTTGTTTATTCCTCCTGATGTGAAGGTAAAGGATTCATGGGTGGCTGGTAGCCAACTCAGTACATGTTAGGTGTAGGGGAGAAATAGAGGGTTAAAATTATTATTTTTTGGTTTATTAACATTTTTTGATGTGATTTAATTTCCATATCCTGTTATTCTCAGGGTTGTTTATATTCTGTTTAAACTGTTATATGGAGTGACACCATAAATGGTGTCAAAAGAGGGAATCCTAAATTTTCCCTTAAAAATGTCTTAATCACACCCTAGAGTTTTAATAATCTTGTGTTTTGTGTTCTATTAATCCTGTGTTTTATGCTTTATTAATCAAGTTAACCATTGTGAATGTTTGTCTTTCCTTATGTGAAGGTTTGAAGTTCCTGGGTGACTGGTAGCCAACCGTTTACAAGTTGGGTGTAGATGGACTGAGGGTTTTTATTTTTTAGTATCATTATTGCCTATTAATAAAAGTGTGATTATTTTCGTTTGTATTGTATTTTAATGAGTGACACCCTGTGTTTTCTTATTTTGGGTTCACACCCAGTGGGTGTGAAAAGGGGGATTGTGGGGATCTATTTTCTCATAACTGGATGGGATGACTAACTTAGAAAGAATGCATTAATGATTAAAGCATAAAAGGTTTGTACTGTACTGATATAAATTGTTTCACATAACAAGCTGTGATTCATGTGAGGAACATTAGGGGGTAGGATGAGATAAGACTTGTATTTCTCACAGATATGAACACTGCCTCTTTGTTGTCTGTGAACTGTTGTCTGTGAACCGTCCTTGAACATAGGTACTTAGAGTACAGTGGAACGGTGTCTATGGGTGATGACTCTACAGGTTGTGGTGATAACAACTTATGCCTGGCAACAGTGTGCAACAGTGGAGCGCCGAGGGATTGGGACCAGCCTGTGCGCCAACGGATTGGCTGAGTAAATCTAAACCACGCTCAGTCTCTACTCTGATAGGCCCAGCAGGGAGTGGGAACTATCTCTGTCAGAGTATTTGAAGAAGAACCTGTAACAATGGATCAGTTCTCTGTCTGCCCTGCGTGGTATTTCAGTGAGCCTGTATACGAACCATCATACTTATCATACATACATTTTGCATATAATACATTTAGCTTGGATTGAATATCTCTTGATTATGTTTTCTCTTATTCCAATACCAGATTTGAATTACGCAATTTCTAACAAAAGTCAAAACAGCAGGACCGGGACAAGGTAGCACATACGTTGAAACGGGTCAAACAAATCAGTGGAAAAACAATTCCACTCCGATTCCCTTGTTGAATGGCCTGCTCCTTGTCCATTTTCGGAAGACCAACCCGCTCCCCCAATAGTATATCTAGGCTTGCACTGTGATGATTGTGATTCTGAGCTCTCAGGTTCATACAGCGAGTTATGGTCAACACTGATCTCACGCACACGCACAGCATATACAGGGACATTTCATTTTCAGCAAACATTAGCTATGTCAACTTCAGTCTAACTAAATGAGGTGGCGCTAACAAAACATTACAAAAACAAGTCTGTCAATAAAATGTATTACTGTACTTGACAATCTGAGGTGCAAGCTACCTACATTGACTACCTAATAACTGAGGTATGTGGGGTTCTATTTTCTAATAATTGGATTTGTATGTGAATTAATAGCTTAGAAGGAATGCATTAATGATAAGCATAGGTTTGTACTATACTGATATCAATTGTTTCACATAATAGGCTGTGATTCATGTGTGGAACGTTAGGGGGTAAGATGAGATAAGAACTTGTCTCAAAATATTAGACTACACTGCTTCTTTGTGATCTGTGAACCGTCCAAGGACATCGGTACTGCAAAAAAGTCCTAACTCCACAGGTTATTATGATAGCAACTTATGCCTGGGAACGGTGGAGCGCCAAGGGGTTGGGACCAGCCCGTGCGCCAACGGATTGGCTGAGTAAGTCTAAACCACGCTCAGTCTCTACTCTGATTGGCCAGCAGGGAGTGGGAAATATCTCTGTCAGAGTATTTGAAGAAGAACCTGTAACAATGGATTAGTTCTCTGAGTGCCCTGCGTGGTATTTCAGTGAGCCCGTATACGAACCATCATACATACATGTTGCATATAATACATTTAGCTTGGATTGAAGATCTCTTGGTTCTTATTCCAATACAAGATTTGAATTAAGCAATTTCTAACAGGTACATGCAGAAACTGTGTTGCAATTTTAGTTGCAGTTGAGTTGCTTGCTAACATTATTTGTTGGGGTGTGTTACACAAAACACTTCAGACGCAATTAGCTATTTACCTTCAACTAGAGTTGCAACAAAGTTGTCCAGTGTCTAACGCTAGCCTAGTCAACAAGTCATGACCGGTTAACGTTACCTCTGGCTCCATTGCATTGACTCGCGTCGCCTCCTCCGTTCAGTCGCTTTTCCTTGACGACAATGTGGCGATGATGGTCGGTCGGTAACCCCTACACCATAACCCTCGAAATGTCAAATGGTGGCGCAAGCAGAGGGATTCAACGTAGGCATGGAGGCGCAAGCAGAGGGCTTCAACGTAGGCATATGACTCCTTTCCATTCGGAAACTCCCGGTTGCCGCATCAAAAGTGCCCTTCGTCGCGAAGTGCAGTCTGCTGATCCTGCTAGCTCGAGCTGGCACGTCCTTCCTCTTCAGGACATGGAGCCACTTCTTCAAAAGTTGTGGGTCCTTGGGCAGCCGATGTAGTTTACCAAGGGATTTTTTATGGAGCCAATTTATACAGCCTGGCTCTATGCAGTTAACGTTTGAATTACTACTTGTTGTTGCCATCTTGTTGTCCGCACCTAACCTCACTCTCTTCGATGCACTCTCCACGTGAAATCTCAATACCACAGACAATTTGCTGATTCCTGCCAGTGACGCTGTGGCGTCAGTCGTTATTATGGCAATTTAAAATGGCGCTGACCATAGCTCAAATAAACCTTGTCGACGATCAAAATACTAAATATAGAGATGTTAAATGCACATGTTTAGTATTAGTTGATTGAATACATCTCTTTGCTTAGATTTACTTCCTAAAGTGATTCCATTCCCCTTTAAGTGAGAGGAGAATGTTCTGTGTGTGAGCTGAGCTGACTGCTGGACAGACATCTCCTGCATTGGCGAGAAGTACATCCTTTTAGGAGTTAACAAATCCTGAGAAAGAGAACAAAAGAAAGACGGTGAGAACAACCCTGTGTATTTTAGAGTTATGTCCATTCTACTTAACCTTTGAGCTAAACCCATCCGACGTCATCACTCAAATAAACCCCATTGTGGAGAGCTGAGGCTGGGAGTTCTGGCACTCCATCCATACCCCACTTCAGTAGTGATGGCTGAAATAGGTCACCATGGCTGTGGGTTGGAGCCCTTCATATGTCACTCTGGATGGATAAAAGTGTCTGCTAAATGACCATATTATGAACATATACTATAATTATTATCATATTAGTAATGGGGGGACGACGCCGTCACCCACTGGTTTATATCTGTGAATCATGAGGCCCACCATTCTAAAGGACAGTTTCATTTGTTTGGTTTGAAGCTGAGACAAAGTAACACTTCACTATACCACCCTTATTACTAACACACACACACACACACACACACACACACACACACACACACACACACACACACACACACACACGCACACAGGATTATCTATGGAGAGTGTACTGACCCCTCTAAAGCTGATGTTCTCTTTCTCCTGCCTGTCCAATGTGTTTCTGGGTCCTGGAGTCACCAGTCTACTGCTGCTGCTGCCCTATCAGTTGACCTACACATTTTGTTTGTGCAGTTTTACAGATAATTTCCTGCTATTCTTCCCATGACTTATGTCACATTAATAATTATATCTGAGTGATAGTGACTAACAAAATCAATGGGGGCCTCCTGGAGGTCAGGGCAGGGAGGGGGGACTCAGATATTTTTGCTCATTTTTTAAAATCTACATTACATTTACTGCATTTCTATACAATTAAAAAACTTGAAAATGCTATATGGAGAACAGCAAAATCAACTTAAAAAGACCCAGCCATTATCACATTGGTTGCTGTAGCTTCATTCACCTCAGTCGATCTACAAATGTTTCCCCTTAAACCACTTCAGTGTTGCTTTAGCAGTATGCTTAGGGTCATTGTACTGCTGGAAGTTGAACCTCTGTCCCAGTCTCAAATCTCTGGAAGACTGAAACAGGTTTCCCTCAAGAATTTCCCTGTATTTAGCGCCGTCCATCAATCCTTCAATTCTGACCAGTTTCCCAGTCCCTGCCGATGAAAAACATCTCACAGCATGATGCTGCCACCACCATGGGATGGTGTTCTCAGGGTGATGAGAGGTGTTGGGTTTTCCTTGATGGCCAAAAAGCTCAATTTTGGTGTCATCTGACCAGAGTATCTTCTTCCATATGTTTGGGGAGTCTCCCACATGGCTTTTGGCGAACACCAAATGTGTTTGCTTATTTTGTTCTTTAAGCGATGGCTTTTTTCTGGCCACTCTTCCATAAAGCCCAGCTCTGTGGAGTGTACGGCTTAAAGTGGTCCTATGGACAGATACTCCAATCTCCGCTGTGGAGCTTTGCAGCTCCTTCAGGGTTATCTTTGGTCTCTTTGTTGCCTCTCTGATTAATGCCCTCCTTACCTGGTCCGTGAGTTTTGGTGGGCGGCCCTCTCTTTGAAGGTTTGTTGTGGTGCCATATTTTTTCCATTTTTTAATAATGGATTTAATGGTGGAATGTTCAAAGTTTTTTATAACTCAACTCTGATATGTACGTCTCCACAACTTTGTCCCTGACCTGTTTGGTGAGCTCCTTGGTCTTCATGGTGCCACTTGCTTGGTGGTGTTGCAGACTTTGGGGCCTTTCAGAACACGTGTATATATACTGAGATCATGTGACAGATCATTTGACACTTAGATTGCACACAGGTGGACTTTATTTGACTAATTATGTGACTTCTGAAGGTAATTGGTTGCACCAGATCTTATTTAGGGGCTTCATAGCAAAGGGGGTGAATACATATGCAATCACCACTTTTCTGTTATTTATTTTTAAATATTTTTTACATTTCACTTCACCAATTTGGACTATTTTGTGTATGTCCATTATATGAAATAAAAATAAAAATCTATTTAAATTACAGGTTAAATTGCAACATAATAGGAAAAACGCCAATGGGGATGAATACCAAAAATGATATGGTAATACAAAATGTAAGTTTACACACACCCAGGAATGTCATACATGATAGATCATTAGCTTATACAATAACTTTCACACATCTAGATGGCCGGGCGGGATGAGTGTGGAGCCAGAGACAGCAGGGGTTCAAACTGTAGAACCCAGTTCCTATATTTGAATATAAAAAGGGATTTTATCAAACAAAACTATGCTACATTTTATCCCTGGGACCCTTAGGATGATAAATAAGAGCAAGATTACTGAATGTAAGTATATTATTTACCTTCAGAGGTGAATGTATCAAACCAGTTGCCGTGATACGTTTTTTGTTGTTGTGCACTCCACTCAAACAATAGCATGTTTTTTTTCACGGTAATAGCTACTGTAAATTGAACAGTGCAATTAGATTGACAATAATTTAAGCTTTCTGCCCATATAAGACATATCTATGTCCTGGAAAGTTTGCTGTTACTTACAACAGCCATGCTAATCACATTAGCGCACGTTAGCTCAACCGTCCCGTATACGGGACACTGCTCCAGTAGATGTTAACTAAGCACTGTGATTAAAAACTAAAATTGAATATGTACAGAGGGATCTGTTAACATAAAACATTTTTTATTAACAAAAAGAAAACATAAGTTTGCTTTACAAAACAATTATTTTGTAGTTTTACAGCTAATTTCCTGCAACTCTACACATTTTGCCATGGGATGGGGAGACATTTTGGTAGTTTAAAGCACATTTCCTGCAATTCTACACATTTAGCGATGAATTATGCAATGTTAATATGATATCTGAGTGAAAGTGACTGCAAAATCAATTGGGGCCCCCTGTAGGACAGGGCCCCTTGGCACGTGCCCTGTGTGCCCGGTCAGCAAGTCGGCCATGATGTCAACAAGTTTAGATAGCTGACTAGACTAAGTAGACTAATTTACCAATCAAAACATTTTTAACTGACACGGGCTAATTGAGTGACATAGAACAGGAAGAAAACTGCTGATGCACAACTACAGTAAGTTTCTAAATGTCACCTTGTGTATTCTACTATTCTAACTCTCAACAGTAAGTTGAGACCCCAAAAGTTTTTTCATTAGAAAAAATGACAGGTCCGGACCTAGGTGTCCTCATATGTAGTTACGGCCCTGTCCATATTAGTTCATCACTGACAGAGAATTTGTGGAAAAAGGCTGCAAGTTGCTGATGAGGCACATTTAGAATAAAAAGTATGAGTATAGTTGACTCATGTTTCTCTCTCTCGGTCTCACACACACACACAGAGAGAGAGAGAGAGAGAGACACAGACACACACACACACACACAACCTCATTGGGATGACTTCACTGTCAGAAACACCTATGATTGGCAGATCTGTACACCAGTGCTTTTGGCATCACCAGATGATCCAATAGAGAAGTATGGGTAGAGCATCTCAGTGAATGTGTCTTTATGAGTGTAGATGAGTGTCATGTCTTTGGAGTCGTAGAAGGACACCTCCCCCTGGTCGTAGTCCAGCAGCACTCTGATCCTCTGGGGTATCCTCTTCAGGAGGAGGGTCTCTCCCATTACATTACTATACTCACCACTCCTTTTCACTATAACCCAGATTCCATACTCTGGTGATGCATTCTGCTCCCCTTTCTTGTCAACTGACTCTTTAGCCACGCCCATAACCCAGAAAGGATGGTCCCCCACCTCCACCTCCCAGCAGTGTTTACCTGAGCTGAACCCCTTAGAGCCCAGAATAGATGCGTACATTGTGAATCTCTCTGGGTTGTCAGGGAGCTGCTGCTTTGGGCCAGTCTTACTCACACTGGTCAGATCATCAGACAGAGAGAGACAGGGGGATGCAGTGTTGGGGTCCAGAATCACAGGAGCTTCAGAACAAAGGCAGAGATATTCCACACATTATACCATGTATTCTTTTTTCATATACACTAAGAATACTACTTAAAATAGCATACTTAATTAAAATCTATATTACATTATTATCAATCATGTCCTCTCCTATCCAGTACTCACTGTGTTTGACGATCCCATGCATCTTCTCCCAGACTCTGAACGTCAGGTTCCCCAGGTGTTTGGCCACGTCTATCAGCGCCCCTGACACCAGTTGTGGATCCGGCATTGTACACTGGGCTCTGGAATAACATTCAGGAGTCAGCACTTCTGTGGGGTTGGGTTCACAACCACAGAGAAGCGAGAGACGAGAAGCAGATCACTTACCTTTCCTTCATGGTCTTGAAGTTCTGGAAAGTAGAGTATATAGTCATCAATATCATTGATTAATCTGTCAATCTTTGAGTTAATTTATAATCTATGTTTGAGAGAGAGCAGTCCTTACCTGCAGGAATGAGATGTCTTCATCTTTCAGATCCTCCTCTATGGCTCTGATTGTGTCTGAAAGTGATGAAATCTCTCTGTTCATCTGCTCAATCTTCTCCTGCATCTTCTGACTCTTCTGTTTCTCTTCCTCTTTCAGAGCAGTTATCCTGGCCTCCTCTTCCTCTCGTAGAAACTGGTGAAGTTTCTCAAACTCCTTCTTAATCCGCTTCTCCGTGTGCTGGGCCTGGCTCTGGAGACAGTGAGAAGAATATCTCGTTTTATAATTATTATCAGAATTAAATCCTACATGTATGATACAATTGAAACAATATATGCTGTACTATTGCAACTTAGCATGGTTTATACTAACCTTAATGTGCCCTGCTGTTTGATCACAGGTTTGTTTAACTTCATTAAAGACCTTCAGCTTCTCCTGTAAGGGCTTCAGGTCAGTCTGGAGTTCCTCCTGGAATGAGACAGAACCTCACTGAGGAGACAACCTCTGGACACACTTTATAGGAGAGAGTTTGTCTGTACAACACATCTCTATCACTGCAGATACTTTTTATACTTGTTTTAAGATTAAATGACAGAGATACCTATTTTTCACTCAGGATCTCTAAAACTACACTGCTCAAAAACATAAAGGGAACACTTAAACAACACAATGTAACTCCAAGTCAATCACACTTCTGTGAAATCAAACTGTCCACTTAGGAAGCAACACTGATTGACAATACATGTCACATGCTGTTGTGCAAATGGAATAGACAACAGCTGGAAATTATAGGCAATTAGCAAGACACCCCCAATAAAGGACTGGTTTTACAGACCACTTCTCAGTTCCTATGCTTCCTGGCTGATGTTTTGGTCACTTTTGAATGTTGGCGGTGCTTTCACTCTAGTGGTAGAATGAGATGGAGTTTACAACCCACACAAGTGGCTCAGGTAGTGCAGCTCATCCAGGATGGCACATCAATGCGAGCTGTGGCAAGAAGGTTTGCTGCTGTCAGCGTAGTGTCCAGAGCATGGAGGCGCTACCAGGAGACAGGCCAGTACATCAGGAGACGTGGAGGAGGCCGTAGGAGGGCAACAACCCAGCAGCAGGACTGCTACCTCCGCCTTTGTATAAGGAGGAGCAGGAGGAGCACTGCCAGAGCCCTGCAAAATGACCTCCAGCAGGCCACAAATGTGCATGTGTCTGCTCAAACGGTCAGAAACAGACTCCATGAGGGTGGTATGAGGGCCCGATGTCCACAGGTGGGGGTTGTGTTTACAGCCCAACACCATGCAGGACGTTTGGCATTTGCCAGAGACCACCAAGATTGGCAAATTCGCCACTGGCGCCCTGTGCTCTTCACAGATTAAAGCAGGTTCACACTGAGCACGTGACAGACGTGACAGAGTCTGCAGACGCCGTGGAGAACGTTCGGCTGCCTCCAACATCCTCCAGCATGACCGGTTTGGCGGTGGGTCAGTCATGGTGTGGGGTGGCATTTTTTGGGGGGCCGCACTGCCCTCCATGTGCTCGCCAGAGGTAGCCTGACTGCCATTAGGTACCGAGATGAGATCCTCAGACCCCTTGTGAGACCATATGCTGGTGCGGTTGGACCTGGGTTCCTCCTAATGCAAGACAATGCTAGACCTCATGTGGCTGGAGTGTGTCAGCAGTTCCTGCAAGAGGAAGGCATTGATGCTATGGACTGGCCCGCCCATCCCCCAGACCTGAATCCAATTGAGCACATCTGGGACATCTTGTCTCGCTCCATCCACCAACGCCACGTTGCACCACAGACTGTCCAGGAGTTGGCGGATGCTTTAGTCCAGGTCTGGGAGGAGATCCCTCAGGAGACCATCCGCCACCTCATCAGGAGCATGCCCAGGCGTTGTAGGGAGGTCATACAGGCACGTGGAGGCCACACACACTACTGAGCCTAATTTGGACTTGTTTTAAGGACATTACATCAAAGTTGGATCAGCCTGTAGTGTGGTTTTCCACTTTAATTTAGAGGGTGACTCCAAATCCAGACCTCCATGGGTTGATAAATTTGATTTCCATTGATAATTTTTGTGTGATTTTGTTGTCAGCACATTCAACTATGTAAAGAAAAAAGTATTTAATAAGATTATTTCATTCATTCAGATCTAGGATGTGTTATTTTAGTGTTCCCTTAATTTTTTTGAGCAGTGTACTTAAAATGTATCAGAAAATGAAATTCACAATCATTCAGTCAACACAATGTGTAGAAAATCAATCTATTATCTAAATGAGGCAGACTCATAAAGAAAACATTGATAACTTCACGTTCCAATAGTTTTTTAGTATTGATCTATCACCTATTTTCTATCAAAACCTTTCTCCTACCTTGTGATCCTGTACAGCCTCATCTACAGGGATGCAGTCATGAGCTTTATGTTTCTTTGAGACCTGACACACCAAACAGATGGGCTCTTTATCCTCCTGACAGAACAACCTGAATTTCTCACTGTGCAGACTGCAGAGCACCTTGGACCCTGTGGTTGGACTTTTCGGATCTGTCTGTCTCCTTTCCTGTAAGGCCTCACACAGGTTCTTTAGAGAGAGGTTTGAATGGGGATGATCCTTAGACGATCTTCTCCTGCAAACTGGACATTCCCGAGATTCCTTGTCTTTCCAGCATTCCTTTAGACAGGCTTGGCAGAAGCTGTGGCTGCATGACAACATGACAGGATCGTTGAAGATGTCTAGGCACACCGTACAGGAGAAATCCTCCTCTGGGAGAGACGAACTAGAAGCCATTTTCTCACACGGTGTCACTTGTTTTTTTGTCTAGAAGGGATACAGCTTTTGTAAAAATTGACTTTTCATAGCAGGTTTAGGATAACTTATGCAGCAGGTTAGGAAAATTAACGTAGCAGGTTAGGTTAAGGTTAGGAAAAGGGTTAGGATTAGCTAAAATGCAAAAACATCTACTTTTGATGTAAATTGGACAAAAGCTATATCCCATCTAGACGTGACTGTGTCACTTCCTGTCATGGAATGATATCTGAAAGTTAGTCTTATAGAGGCACTTGTTTTAAAAAAAAGTCTAATTGCACGTAAAGGTCACAGTTTTGATGATATTACCTTATATTGGTTGGTTTAACACCCTGATATTTCAGAACAATCTAAATAAAATCCCAGTGTTCCGTTGTGTCAGACAGACATGAGTCCTGGAGAGTTATTAAAGTTACAGCACTGAGATGCACTTTAGTCATCAGGTGACTCGGGGGTGGAGTTTACTGTGAACCTGGGTCAGAGTTCAATAGTCTCTGGTCCTGTTTGAATACTTAACATGGACCCCACCCTTGTGAAGACATGCGGAAATGTATTCAAACAGGGCCAATGACAGTGGATTTGCACAATGTGCACTTATTCCCTGTATGTTTTATTCTCTCTAAAGCATTATTATTGACCTGCATAGCAGTTTTACCCGCTACAAAATTACAAAAAAACATCTTAATATTTGTAGACCATGGCACAACATAGCAAATGGTAACATCAACCATTTAAAATGACTTTCAAGTCCACTTTTATTTAAAAACAGAAAAGTCTAAACAGCACTAGTTTTAAATAGTTTGTCACCTGAACAAGTACAGATCATTTTTTCCTTAGTGTGGAGTAGGAAAAAAGGGCCACGTGTGAACAAAACAATCATTGACAGGGTGAGGAGATTTATAGGGGTAGTTCACAAAAAAATCACAACTGATCATTGATGTAACAGAGTCCATATTATAGGAGTCCATTATGACATCTTTAGTGTAAATCATTCTGTATGCCTCAATACCAAATGAATGGGAAATAGACAGGCACCATATCAACTTGAGTTACAGTACTTGGTGGATAGCTTCTATTCCATTCATTTGGGATTGAGGCCTGATTCAGAGGGGTTGGGTTAAATGTGGAAGACACATTTCAGTTGAATGCATTCAGATGTGCAACTGACTAGGTATCCCCTTTCCCTATCCTGTAGATCTTTTCCAAATGTATACAATGTTACCTACAAAACAGATGGCATAAAATATGAGCTCTCCACTAGTCAGTCAGTTTTTACAAACAATAACGCCTGACAAAACTTGTTGCAGCAAACTATCCCTTTAACATACGAGGAATGTAGTGCTGGTTTCTCATTCGTTCATATCTGGGAGAACCACCAGTGCAAAACAAAATGTCACACCAATGACGGTTCTACTTGACAACCTCATCCATCGATAGAGTAATGATCCTGTACAAAACCTTGGCTTGGATTGATGATAGCTCTCCTTATACAGCAGACTACTCTGAATTCTCCCACCTCAGACGTGCTCACTGGATCTCATTCGGGTTCTTCTGGCACAAAATGGCTGCTGTCGTTTAGCACCATAGATAGAGCACTCATCATGGCTATAACCCACTTTAGCATGGGCATTGCAATCATCCACCATTTTAAAATAGTCAAGTAGTCAACTGGGTGGGGATTCCTATGGGTTGTAGCCTCCATGGCGCTGCCCATGCTGTCAGACGCTATAATGGTATAGATAAACAATCAGAGCCTCGATCTATCTCTATGCTTAGAGCCTATGTGGATGGTCCATGTTAGCGGAGACACCAAAACACAATATAAACTAAATGTGTTGTCCTAGTGAGGATATGAGCTGTATAGATGCAGTGTGTTGTTACCATTTACAACCTGCAGGGTTTATGGCAACAGACATGTCCTCTTTAAGGACAATAACCCTCATCTTCACCACCATCATCGTCTTCAGACATATTGTTCCATATTTCTGATCAAGGCAAACAGACCCTCACATTATTTGGAGAAATATTTATGACCAGTTAGCAGGGTTCAGTCCATGACAGAATATTCTGATTCCCTTTGTCCACAGTTTGTAGAGTCCATTCATCCTACTGTTGATCAATAGGATAGAGACGTCATACCCTTGGTGAGCATATCCTTCAGGAGCAAAATTACACTGGAGGGGAAAAAGTGTGTGTGTGTGTTAGTCCAGTCAAAGTCCTGTAACAGCTGATTGTAGTGTGTGTATGTGTGTGTGTTAGTCCAGTCTGAGGGCCTCTCTGTGCTGCTATGTTCTCCTAGATGTTGTCCCGTGTTGGGGAGAAGAGAGCTGCTAGTGCTCCACTCTCACTGGGCTCCACAATGTCCCTTTTCTCCGGCTTGGGCTTCTTAAAGAGAGACGGAAGATTTCGGATATGTACCTCCTTTTTAAACTGCTGGCCAAGCGCTTTCTGTGGAGAGGAGAGATCAAAAACAGTTTACAATCTGTTTTGGATTTAATGGTTGTCTTATAATAATTTGAGTGTGCAGGCCCTATTTAATTCAACTTATATGAAAAATACTGCCAGAACTCGCCAATAAAGTATAACCATTTCAGCAGTCACAATCGACACATTTCAGACATTATTTCCTTTTAAAATTATTCTAGGTCTTCTATGCAGGTCTTTTTAACAGAAAAACATAGTAATAGAACACCCCCATCTAGTGGCGGGAGGTGGTATTACCCCCACGGTGCCGGAGATGAGCTTCTTGAACTGGTCCTTCCTCTTCTTCTCTCCCACCTTCTGGGCGGAGCTGGGCTCCAGCAGCCGCTGGTCGTACTGGTCCAGAGCCTCCAGATTAATGCTGGGGATCTGAGTCATCACACTCCTTAGCTCCAGGTACCGCGGCCGCTGACCCAGAGAGGGAGGAAAGGAAGAGTTAGGAGGAAGAAAAAAAGAGAGGGAGGGAGGGAGGAAGGGAGAATGAATGTGTGAGAGTGACCGTGTAACTCACCAGGTTCTCGTATATAACCAGGGCCAGTTGTGTGAGGGCCGAGTTACAGACCTCGTGCTGCCCGTGCATCTGCAGACCCTTCAGAACACTGGCATAGAACCATGTGACCGCCTCTGGCAAAAGGTTCCCCCCTACAACCTGAAGAGAAGAACATTGTCAGAGAGAGGAAGGGAGACAGGGTCAGACGGTGACAAGAGGGAGGGAGAGGAGAGGGACGGTAAAGAGGGAGGGAGAGAGACAGACAGTGGAGAGAGAGAGGGAGGGAGAGAGAGAGACAGTGAAGAGAGAGAGAGAGGGAGAGGAGGGAGAGGAAGGGAGAGAGGAGGGAGAGAGACAGACAGTGGAGAGAGGGAGGGAGGGAGAGAGGCAGACAGTGAAGAGAGAGAGGGAGGGAGAGAGGCAGACAGTGAAGAGAGAGAGGGAGGGAGAGAGGCAGACAGTGGAGGGAGAGAGGCAGAGAGTGGAGGGAGAGAGGCAGACAGTGAAGAGAGAGAGGGAGGGAGAGAGACAGACAGTGAAGAGAGAGAGGGAGGAGAGAGACAGACAGTGAAGAGAGAGAGGGAGAGAGGAGACAGTGAAGAGAGAGGGAGGGAGAGAGACAGACAGTGAAGAGAGAGGGAGAGAGACAGTGAAGAGAGAGAAGAGAGTGAAGAGGAAGAGGGGGAGGAGGGAGAAAAGACAGACAGTGAGAGAGAGAGGGAGGGAGAGAGAGAGACAGTGAAGAGAGAGAGGAGGGAGAGAGGCAGTGAAAGAGAGAGAAGGGGAGGAGGCCACAGTGCAGACGACAGACGAGAGAGGGGGGGAGACAAGCAGACAGCTGTGAAGAAGAGAGGAGCAGGGAGGCAGAAGGAAGTAAGCGGAGGCCTGTGAGAGACGCACGGAGAGAGGGTCAGACTGCGATGTCGAGCAGGGGGGTAAAGCCTACGTCAGTCGAAGCAGAGAGGTACAGCTACCGTCCGTGGTAAGCAGGGTAACAGCCTACCTGTCCTGTCGAGAGGGTAAACAGCATACCTGTCAGTCGTAGCAGGGGGTAACAGCTACCAGTTAAGTCAGAAGAGGGGGGGAGACAGCTACCGACAGTGTGAGGAGAACAGGCTATAGATGGTGTAGCAGAGAGGAGACAGTAGGACCTGTCACTGGGTAGGAGTGAGACAGAAGTAAAGAGATGCAGGGTCACAGAGGACCAGTGTGGGGGGGCGGTGACAGTTACAGGTTGCCAATTAGACAGAACAGGGAGGGGTACAGGACTAGTCAACAGGTAGAGGAGAAGTGAAGAGAGCCAAAGTAGACACTAGTACATGAGGACGAAACACCAGTAGCAAACAGGGAGGTCAGAAATGGGTTGTGGTGCTGTAAAATGGATAGTGTTGCTGGTGTTGTTCATGTGTAGGTCTGTCCTGTCGTTAGAGGGACAGCCACCGTCATGCTGTGGCAGGGTTAGTCACTGTCTAGGAGGTTCAGTGACTTCTGTTCCCGTAGCAGGGAACAGAGGGGGGAGTGAACGCTACCTTGAGCAGGGCACATGTCCGTGTGAGGGTAACACACCGCGTCGAAAGTAGGGTGGCAAGTAGGTCCTGTGAACAGTGGGACAGCTACTGTGTGTGTGCAGGGTAACAGTACGTGTCGTGCAGGGTTGCTGACCTCCGTAAGAGGGTAGGACAAGTACACTCAGCGAGCAGGGTACAGTACAATGGCTGTGCAGGTAGGGAATCAGCTACTGTCGGGATCAGGGAACATACGTCTGCGATCGGGTAACACACTGGTCAGGACAAGGGAAGGAACAGACATGAGGAAGGAGTGGAAACCCATACCTTTCCATGTGGCAGGGTACAGTACCTGCTGTAGCAGGGTAAGAGGACAATGAGGCGGTGCAAGTGGTACAGACTGGTCCTTCAGAACAAGTAGGTGACGAAGCAACAAGTCCTATCAGTGCCTCAAGTAGGAAGAAATAAGAACCTGTCAATGGGTCGAGCGTAATCACGAAGTGTCAAAACCATTCACAAGGGACCTAGTGTCTGCGGGTTTTTCATTTAGGTTTTTCCTTTCAATTAAGACCTAGACAACCAGGTGAAGGGAGTTCCTTACTAATTAGTGACTTTTAGTCATCCATCAGGTACAAGGGAGGAGTGAAAACCAGCAGACACTAGGTCCTCCATGGAGTGAGTTAAACACCCCTGCTGCAAATGCTCTGGTGTGTGTGTGTGTGTGTGTGTGTGTGTGTGTGTGTGTGTGTGTGTGTGTGTGTGTGTGGTGCTGACCTCGTGTTTGAGGAGACACTTCCCCAGCTCAGTCATTTCGCCTGTTGGCTGGGCTGGATTGGCTGTGACTGCCTGGGACTCAGTGGACATCATCTCCTCATCTACACACAATAGGACATAAAAGGAAGAATGAGAAGGGGGTGGACCCTGAATGACGCTTTTCTTCCCTTGAAAACAAGGGAACAAGTAGGGATCAGGGAACAAGAAGGGATCAGGGAACAAGTAGGGATCAGGGAACAAGTAGGGATCAGGGAACAAGTAGGGATCAGGGAACAAGTAGGGATCAGGGAACAAGAAGGGATCAGGGAACAAGAAGGGATCTGGGAACAAGTAGGGATCAGGGAACAAGTAGGGATCAGGGAACAAGTAGGGATCAGGGAACAAGTAGGGATCAGGGAACAAGTAGGGATCAGGGAACAAGTAGGGATCTGGGAACAAGTAGGGATCAGGGAACAAGAAGGGATCTGGGAACAAGAAGGGATCAGGGAACACTTACCATCCACATCCTCCTTATTCCCTGCTGGCTCAGGCGCTTTTTTCAGTATGCAGGCATGAGCTGAGGGGAAAGGATAAATGTTAGGAAATATGGCCACACTGAAATCGACCCCACATACCCCAAACTTAATCCACCCCACGTACCCCAAACCTAATCGACCGAACATACCCCAAACCTAATCCACCCCACATACACCAAACCTAATCTACTCCACATACCCCAAACCTATCAAATCTGGATGTGCATCAGAACTAAATTCATAGGACCAGTTTCAAGGAACCAGATTCTTTCTCCTGGACAAAAAAACACGCTCAATGTAGAAACTATATATAAAGTGCTACTTAGTTGCTCCCTACATTCCAATAAGATGTCCTTTCTCCCAAAGTCTGGACTTACTGAGCAGGTCCAGAACCTCTCTGGTGACCAGACGAACCAGCTGTTCCTCCAGCATCTCCTGGGTCACTTGTTTCTCCTCACACACCTCGTCCTCATCCTCCTCCATACTACACACACAGAGGGAGAGGGAGGGAGATTGTCAACATACCACCAGCAAAGAAATAGAAAGAAAACCTATACATTCAAAGTGACCACATCAAATCTCATTTTATTTGTCACATGCTTGGTAAACAACAGGTGTTGCTTACGAAGTGAAATGCTTACTTACGGTCCCTTCCCAACAATGTAGAGAAAAATAATAGAGAAATAGCAGAAAAATAATAACGGAATAAATAGAAAAAGAATTCCAAGGTATAAATACACAATGAGTAACGATAACTTGGCTATATACATGGGGTACCAGTACAGAGTCTATGTGCAGGGGTATATGGTAGATATGTACATATAGGTAGGGATAAAGTGACTAGGCAACGTGATAGATAATAAACAGTAACTGCAGTGTATGTGATGAGGCAAAATAGTTCAATGCAGATATTCCAGGTAGCAATTTGTTAACTCTTTAGCAGTCTTATAGCTTGGGGGTAGAAGCTGTTCAGGGTCCTGTTTGTTCCAGACTTGATGCATCGGTCCTGCTTTCCGTGCGGTAGCAGAGAGAACATCCTATGACTTGGGTGGCTGTTGTCTTTGAAAATGTTTAGGGCCTTCCTCTGAATCCGCCTGGTACAAAGGTCCTGGATGGCAGGGAGCTCAGCCCCAGTGATGTACTGGGCCGTATGCATTACCCTCTGTAGCGCCTTGCAGTCGGATGACAAGCAGTTGCCATACCAAGCGGTGATGCAGTAAGTCAAGATACTCTCAATGGTGCAGCTGTAGAACTTTTTGAGGGCCCATGACGCATCTTTTCAGCCTCCTGAGGGGGAAGGGGCGTTGTCGTGCCCTCTTCGGGACTGTGTTGATGTGTGGACCATGACAGTTCCTTAGTGATGTGGACACCGAGGAACTTGAAGCTCTCGACCTGCTCCACAACAGCCCCGTCCATGTGGATGGGGGTGTGCTCGGCCTTCCGTTTCTTGTAGTCCACGATCAGCTCCTTCGTCTTGCTGACGTCAGAGACCACACTGCCAGGTCTCTGACCTCCTCCCTATAGGCTGTCTCATTGTCGTCGGTGATCAGGCCTACCACCGTCGTGTCGTGTGCAAACTTAATGGTGTTGGTGTCATGGGCGGCCACGGAGTGAACGGAGTACAGGAGGGGACTAAGCATGCACCCCTGAGGGGCCTCCATGTTGAGGGTCAGTGTGGCGGAGGTGCTTACCCTCAAATGCATTCATAGGGATGCACGCTTGAGCTCTGCTACCCGACCCACCCCGACACTATCCATCAGGTTAGGACAGGGTAGGGCCAGTTTTATCATCAATTATTAGGGTACGGGTAGGGCTCGGGCATCAGTAACATTTTGAAGCTGAGCCATTTGCTCGTGCTCTGCTGCGCAGTAGTCTACAGTCATCAATCAATCAAATGTATTTATAAAGCCCTTTTTACATCAGCAGATGTCACAAACTGCTATACAGAAACCCAGCCTAAAACCCCAAACAGCAAGCAATGCAGATGTAGAAGCACGGTGGCTATGAAAAACTCCCTAGAAAGGCAGGAACCTTGGAAGAAACCTAGAGAGGAATCAGGCTCTGAGGGGTGGCCGGTCCTCATCTGGCTGTGCCCGGTGGAGATTATAAGAGTACATGGCCATTAAGGTGGTCCTCTGTAGCTCAATTGGTAGAGCATTGCGCTTGTAACGCCAGGGTTGTGGGTTCGATCCCCGGGACCACCCATACGTAAAAATGTATGCGCACATGACTGTAAGTCGCTTTGGATAAAAGCGTCTGCTAAATGGCATATTATTATTATATTATTAAGGCCAGATCGTTCTTCAAGATGTTCAAACGTTCATAGATGCCAGCAAGGTCAAATAATAATCACAGTGGTTATAGAGGGTGCAACAGGTCAGCACCTCAGGAGTAAATGTCAGTTGGCTTTTCATAGCCGAGGTCAAGACAGCAGGTGCGATAGAGAGAGGCAGAGAGGATCGAAACAGCAGGTCCGGGATAAGGTAGCACGTCTGGTGAACAGGTCAGGGTTCCATAGCCGCAGGCAGAACATCAGAAACTGGAGCAGCAGCACGATCCTGTGGACTGGGACAGCCAGGAGTCATCAGGCCAGGTAGCCCTGAGGTATAGTCCTAGGACTCAGGTCATATCTTACTAAGATCATAACATGGTGTTAGAAGTGCTTCAACCTCATCAAATATAAGACCAAAACATTGTCCGAGTCGACGGGAGAGATTATTTCACAGAAATTAAAAAATGTTGTGGAGTTTAGAGTGGTGAAAAGTAGCTAGTTAACAGCTAACTGCTCTCTCGCATCTCGTCATCGAGCAGCCCAAGGCGGAGCCATTGCTATGGATACTCACACAGGCAGACTAGCATACAGAACGCATGCAGCGCAGGGAGAAGGACAGGCAGAGACCAGCAGCTAATGGATACTAACGAAGGAAGTTATTTCTGATTTTGGGCAGAAGCAATCAGTAGGGTAGGGTCTGAACATCACGGGAATGGGTGGGACTCAGACTTAAAATTCATGACCGTGCAGGGCTCTAATGTACGGACGGACGCATCTTACCTGACAGTACTCCTCTGGTTGATGATCTGCCACCTGATGTTGAGTCTCTGTACAAATAAACACAAAGAGAGACAATGTCATATGATCCGTCCTATTATTTCTTATCATCTCTATGGTAACTGATTACTAGTAACTATGTTGATCAAAAAGACTGATCATCCAAAATAAGCACGCTCCGAGTTTTTGATCAGCCTCCGAGTTTGGTATATTTATTTGGAAGTTGTTCCACAGTTAACCTTTTTCGTTACGCAAGTACTTTACTTAATGTTTTTTTTTTATACGCAAAGAAGCTCTCCTTTTTGGTATATTGCTTCACAGGAGCAAGGAGATAAGTGTGTGAGCTCTGACCTGAAGCATGTAGGCAAACAGAGGGCCCAGCAGGGGGCAGAGCAGACTGTCGTAGTACTCCGGAGGACACGACAGCACCAACTGCTTCAGGAACACCCGTACACACACACACATTAAGGAGCACAGATTGATTGAATAGATATGTAATATCAGTGGCTTTACCAGATGGGTAATATGTTTTTCCATGGCCATGACTACGCCCCAGTGTGTGCTTGATTACATGTATTTTACTCCATTCTCTATGTTCAATAGGTGGAAAATGTGGTTGTATTTGATCACCCAAAAAACCTGCAAGAGGGATACTTGTTTCACTAGAAATGACATTAGATTCCTTTTTTGGTTGAAAAAAATTAAGATTGATTGAATTAGTCAAGAGCTTCTATGTGATTGGTAGCTCTGATGGGTCGATTGGACAGAAGGATATGGAGCATGGGGCGGAGTCTGTGGTCAGGCACGTTGTCGAGGGAGATTAAGGCGGAACCAACAATCTGTTCAGCCAATCCCTCGATGGTGTAGAAGTCCTGCTGCAATGATAGGCCTGCATTCCCCAGGATATGGTAACTAGAGAGAGAAAAATCAAAGATGGTGGATGAATGAAGATGATTCACTTAGATCATTTACCATTTAAAAAAATAGTCAGTTCCGGTCTGCTTAACGGGGTGGCTCTCCCATAGACACCAATGCGATAGCAGCTGAGTCTGGTCTGCTTAGTTCATTGACTTCCATTGAACCAGAAAAAAAATGGAGTGGGATGTATCGATTCCTCTTCCATCTCTGGGGTCATGAAAGCCAAGTCAACAAACAGATCACCGACCATTTCGAATCCCACCGTACCTTCTCCGCTATGCAATCCGGTTTCCGAGCTGGTCATGGGTGCACTTCAGCCACGCTCAAGGTCCTAAACGATATTATAACCGCGATCGATAATAGACAGTACTGTGCAGCCGTTTTCATTGACCTGGCCAAGGCTTTCGACTCTGTCAACCACCGCATTCTTATTGGCAGACTAAATAGCCTTGGTTTCTCAAATGACTGCCTCGCCTGGTTCACCAACTACTTCTCAGATAGAGTTCAATGTGTCAAATCGGAGGGCCTGTTGTCTGGACCTATGGCAGTCTCTATGGGGGTGCCACAGGGTTCAATTCTTGGGCCAACTCTTTTCTCTGTGTATATCAATGACGTCGCTCTTGCTGCTGGTGACTCTCAGATCCACCTCTACGCAGACGACACCATTTTGTATACATCTGGCCCTTCATTGGACACTGTGTTAACAAACCTCCAAACGAGCTTCAATTCCATACAACACTCCTTCAGTAGCCTCCAACTGCTCTTAAACACTAGTAAAACTAAATGCATGCTCTTCAACCGAACGCTGCTTGCACCCGCCCACCCGACTAGAATCACTACTCTAGACGGGTCTGACCTAGAGTATGTGGACAACTACAAATATCTAGGTGTCTGGTTAGACTGTAAACTCTCCTTCCAGACTCACATTAAGAATCTCCAATCCAAAGTTAAATCTAGAATCGGTTTCCTATTTCGCAACAAAGCCTCCTTCACTCATGCTGCCAAACATGCCCTCGTAAAACTGACTATCCTACCGATCCTTGACTTCGGCGATGTCATTTACAAAATAGCCTCCAACACTCTACTCAGCAAATTGGATGTTGTCTATCACAGTGCCATCCGTTTTGTCTCCAAAGCCCCATATAATACCCACCACTGTGACCTGTACGCTCTTGTTGGCTGGTCCTCACTACATATTCGTCGCCAAACCCACTGGCTCCAGGCCATCTATAAATCACTGCTAGGCAAATCCCCGCCTTATCTTAGCTCATTGGTCACCATAGCAACACCCACCCGTAGTCTGCGCTCCAGCGGGTATATCTCACTGGTCATCCCCAAAGCCAACACCTCCTTTGGCCGCAATTCCTTCCAGTTCTCTGCTGCCAATGACTGGAACAAATTGCAAAAATCTCTGAAGCTGGAGACACTTATCTCCCTCACTAACTTTAAGCATCAGTTGTCAGAGCACCTTACCGATCACTGCACCTGTACACAGCCCATCTGAAATTAGCCCGCCCAACTACATTTACATTTACATTTTAGTCATTTAGCAGACGCTCTTATCCAGAGCGACTTACAGTTAGTGAATACATATATATATATTTTTTTATACTGGCCCCCCGTGGGAATCGAACCCACAACCCTGGCGTTGCAAACGCCATGCTCTATCAACTGAGCTACATCCCTGCCGGCCATTCCCTCCCCTACCCTGGACGACGCTGGGCCAATTGTGCGCCGCCCATGAGTCTCCCGGTCGCGGCCGGCTGCGACAGAGCCTGGATTCGAACCAGGATCTCTAGTGGCACAGTTAGCACTGCGATGCAGTGCCTTAGACCACTGCGCCACTCAGGAGGTCTACCTCATCCCTATATTGTTATTTATTTTGCTCATTTGTACCCCAGTATCTCTATTTGCACATCATCTCTTGCACATCATTCCAGTGTTAATACTAAATTGTAATTATTTTGCACTATAGCCTATTTTATTGCCTTACCTCCATAACTTGCTAAATATGCACACACTGTATATATGTATTTCTGTTGTATTTTTGACTTTGTTTTGTTTTACCCCATATGTAACTCTGTGTTGTTTTTTATCGCACTGCTTTGCTTTATCTTGGCCAGGTCGCAGATGTAAATGAGAACTTGTTCTCAACTGGTTTACCTGGTTAAATAAAGGTGAAATAAAAAATAAATAAAATAATGTCTTGAGAGCATACATCTTATGTCAAATTGACGTTAAAATGTGCTTTTCTTTGGCATTTTAGCTAATCCTAACCCTTTTCCTAATGTTAACCTAATTCTCCTAACCTGATACGTTGATTCTCCTAACCTGCTGCGTAAATTATTTTACCTGCTACGAAAAGTCAATTTTGACATAAACTGTATACCATCTAGTCAAAACGGAGAAAGAGCGAGGGGGTTGGTAAGCAAGACATTTTTTAAATGTTTTGTCATTTAGCAGACGCTCTTATCCAGAGCGACTTACAGTTAGTGAGTGCATACATTTTAATTTTTCATACTGGCCCCCCGTGGGAAACGAACCCACAACCCTGGCGTTGCAAACGCCATGCTCTACCAACTGAGCTACATCCCTGCCGGCCATTCCCTCCCCTACCCTGGACGACGCTGGGCCAATTGTGCGCCGCCCCATGGGTCTCCCGGTCGCGGCCGGCTACGACAGAGCCTGGATTCAAACCAGGATCTCTAGTGGCACAGCTAGCACTGCGATGCAGTGCCTTAGACCACTGCGCCACTCGGGAGATAAGAGAGAGTGAGATTGTGTGGTTGTGTGCGTGTGTAGAGAAGGGGAGGAAGCAGAAGCCTGTCCACAGTGAAGAACTCACCAGTTGTCATAGAGGGTACAGAAGAAACCCTGCATGCGCTCTAGATGAGTCTTATAAACGGGAGAGTCATAGATGTCCAGGACTGGCTGTGGCAGGCCTACAGTTCAAGACACACAATAATCATGGTTTATTATCCTTCAGAGGTGTATACTAAAAGAAGAATCAATGAGTTAGCCAGCTAACTTTGATGAACAACCAGAAATAACTATAGATTTTCTTGTTCAGTAAGAAAGCTAAACTTAGATCGGTGCTTCCGAACATTTAGGCAAGTTAGCTGGCTAACTCATTGATCCTGCTTTGTAGTATTTGGTATTTTATTAGGATCCCCATTAGCTGTTGCAAAAGCAGCAGCTACTCTTCCTGGGGTCCACACAAAACATGAAATAATACAGAACATTAATAGACAACAGCTCAAGGACAGAACTACATACATTTCTTTTTTTTTTCTTCACAAAAGGCACACGTAGCCTACATATCAATACATACACAAACTATCTAGGTATAACCCTCAGGGGGAAAATTATAACCACAGGTTAACACCACAGGTTAACACCACAGGTACCAACTTGTGGTATAGGGTTTCTAAATCAGTACTGTGAAGAACCAGTGTGGTTCCTCTTACCTAGAACCACGTTCCTCTCCACCTCGATCACCTCGTAGGCCCTGGAGAACGTCTCACTCAGACGACACATGTTCTCCGGCAGGAACAGATTGTTGTGTGTTCTACAGAGAGACATCATCATCATCATTCTCTTTATCATCATCCCAAACACTATCATCATGTCTCCGGACATACACATTGCCACAGTCATACCCTGGATCTAGTTTTGTCCCGTGGAATAAATATTGTGGATCTAAATGTTTTTCCTCATAATCCTGGACTATCAGACCACCATCTTATTGGGTTTCAAAACGCAACAAATAATCTGCTCAGACCCCAACCAAGGATTGTCAAAAGCTGCGCTATAAATTCTATGACAACTCAAAGATTCCTAGATGCCCTTCCAGACTCCCTCCAACTACCCAAGGACATCGGAGTACAAAAATCAGTTAACCACCTAACCGAGGATCTACATTTAACCTTGGGTAATACCCTAGATGCAGTTGCACCTCTAAAAACAAAAAATATTTTTCACAAGAAGTTAGCTCCCCTGTATACAGAAAATACCAGCCCTGAAGCAAGCTTCCAGAAAATTGGAACGGAAATGGTCTTCTGACTAGCTGGTACCGTGCAATATGGAAGAGCCCTCACTGCTGCTCGATCAGCTACTTTTCCAACCTGATTGAGGAGAATAAAAACGAATAGAAAATGTATTTTTAATACTGTCAAAAAGCTAACTAAAAAGCTGCATTCCCCAGGTGAGGATGTCCTTCACTTCAGCAGTGATGAATTCAAAGATCATAATCATTAGAAATCAAATTAGACACTTTGAATGTGCGTATTTCTCCAAAACTCAGTTGTCCCGAGTCTGCACAGAACTGCCAGGACCTATTAATCCTGTATCTCTCGACACATTCACGAAAATAGCCATGGCCTGTAAACCTTCCAGCTGCCTACTGGACCCTATTCAAACTAAACTACTGAATGAGCTAATTCCTGTGCTCGGCCCTTCTATTTTGAACATAATAAACTTCTCCCTATCCTCCGGATGTGTACCAAACTCACTAAAAGTGGCAGTAATAAAGCCTCTCCTGAAAAAGCCAAACCTGGAAAATCTCCCATTCCTCTCAATTGTTTTTGAAAAACCTGTTGCGCAGCAACTCACTGCCTTCCTGAAGACAAATAATGTATACGAAACGCTCCAGTCTGGTTTTAGACCCCATCTTGGTACCGAGACTGCACTCTTGAAGGTGGTAAATTACCTTTTAATGGCATCAGACCAAGGCTCTGCATCTGTCCTCGTGCTCCTAGACCTTAATGCCGCTTTTGACACCATCGATCACCACATTATTTTGGAGAGATTGGAAACCCTAATTGGTCTACATGGACAAGTTCTTGCCTGGTTTAGATCTTATCTGTCGGAAAGATATCAGTTAGTCTCTGTAGATAGTTCGTCCTCTGACAAATCAATGGTAAGTTTCGGCGTTCCTCAAGGTTCCATTTAAGGACCACTATTGTTTTCACTATATACTCTACCTCTTAATGATGTCATTCGGAAACACAATGTCAACTTTCACTGCTATACGGACGACACACAGCTGTACATTTCGATGACACATGGTGAAGTCCCAGAATTGCCTACCCTGGAAGCCTGCGTTTCAGAAATAAGGAAGTGGGTGGAAGCACATTTTTTTTATTTTAAACTGACAAAACAGAGATGCTAGTTCTAGGTCCCAAGAAACAAAGAGATCAGCTGTTTGATCTGATGGTTGTACAGTAGTCTCAAATAAAACTGAAGGACCTCGGTGTTACTCTGGGCTCTCTTCTGACGAACATATAACAAATATTTCAAGAGCAGCCTTCCCCCCCCATCTTCGTACCATTGCATAAATCAGAAACGTTTTGTCCAAAAATTATGCAGAAAAGTTAATCCATGCTTTTATCACTTCTAGATTAGACTACTGCAATGCTCTACTCTCCGGCTACCAGGATAAAGCACTAAATAAACTTCAGTTACTGCCAAATACGGCTGCAAGAATCTTGACTAGAACCAAAAATAATTATCATGTTACTGGCTTGCTGTTATGGCTAGGGCTGATTTCAAGATTTTACTGCTAACCTACAAAGGACTTGCTCCTACCCATCTCTCCAATTTGGTTCTGCCGTACATACCTACATGTACGCTACGGTCACAAGACGCAGGCCTCCTTATTGTCCCTAGAATTTCTAAGCAAACAGCTGGAGGCAGGGCTTTCTCCTATAGAGCTACATTTTTATGGAATGGTCTGCCTTTCCATGTGAGAGATGCAGACTCGGTCTCGACCTTTAAGTCATTACTGAAGACTCATCTCTTCAGTAGGTCCTATGATTGAGTGTAGTCTGGCCCAGGGGTGTGAAGGTGAACGGCAAGGCACTAGAGTGACAAACCACCCTTGCTGTCTCTACCTGGCCGGCTCCCCTCTCTCCACTGGGATTCTCTGCCTCTGACCCTATTACGGGAGCTGAGTCACTGGCTTACTAGTGCTCTTCCATGCCGTCCCTAGGAGGGGTGCGTCACGTCGTGCCAGGCTTTTTCCCCTGCTATACTCGACTTGAGTGGGTTGAGTCACTGATGTGATCTTCCTGTCCAGTTTTGCGCCCCCCCCTTAAACGGCCATGTACTCTTATAATTTCCACCCGACACAGCCAGAAAAGGATTGGCCACCCCTCAGAGCCTGGTTCCTCTAGGTTTCTAGGGAGTTTTTCCTAGCCACGGTGCTTCTACATCTGCATTGCTTGCTGTTTGGAGTTTTAGGCTGGGTTTCTGTATAAGCACTTTGTGACATCTGATGATGTAAAAAGGGCTTTATAAATACAGTTGATTGATTACCATCACAAACATGATCATAAACACTTATCTTCACAAATACACACTGTCTCTCTCCAACACCCCCTCTACACATCCCCTAACCTGATGAGGGCGAGCAGGTTGGGCAGCATGGCCAGGACCTGGGAGGTGCAGGGATTTCTGTAGATTGGGGCTCCAGTAGGGGTGTAGCCCACCACGAAGCCCCCCGCCTTAGCCTCCTCCAGGTCAGCCGGCCAGCGGGCCCTCTTCACCACCCCCAGGATGGTGTACACACAGAAACTCAACTGGAGGGAAGGAGGGCAGGGTGGGGGAGAGACAAACAAGGAATAGGACACTTTTAGTTGATGTTTTGGCAGAATTGGTAGAACTGGCAAGCCTGATATCACATAGAACGTTATAGCACTTAGCCATGAACACATGCATGCGAACACAACACACACACCTACCTACCCGTGACCTGTTGATGCCTGTTGTGTGGTCTGTGCCTTCAGCCACCAGCTGATCAGCACCAACGAAGGCCAGGAACAGAGCAGGATCCCACAGCACACTGATACACACAGAGAGAGAACAACCATTTATATTATATATTGTGTGTGTGTGTGCGGTTTAGTGTGTGTATGTACGCATGTCGTTTAGGCGTGTTACGGACATCACGTTGCTTGCTTAGCGAATTCCCCCGAGTCGGCTCATACCTGGCTGGAACTCGGGACCTCTGCTCCACTAACACACGTGACCGCACTCCTTGACAACGTTCTAACAGGTACCAATTGGATGGCTCCATCCGTGACATTTCAAGCTAGCTGTGGAGTGAGCGTACATTCTTAACTCCGGTACGCGCACGTGTGTCTGCATTGCGTGTGTGTATACAGTGTGCGTGTGTGTACATACTGCCTCATCTCGTCGGAGGTCCAGCGAGCGGACACGGTGGCCATGAGCTCCTCCAGGAAGGCCTTCTGCTTGGTGTAGTCTTTGAACTGGTTACTGATGAGAACCAGGGCCTCTATCAGAGCACACTTCTCCATCTGGGTCAACAGGGCCTCGTTGGAGAACAGCTTCTTCACCTGATTATACAGTATGTCAAAACATGGCTGCATAGAGAGAGAGAGAGAGAGAGAGAGATGTACATTATGAAACACACAGACACATCCATCCCCCCATACACACTTGTAAGATGCAATAGATTTAAGTAATAGTCAACTGTGTTTCATCAGTATCTACTTAAAGCATCTGTTCCTTTTCACTGCACAGCGCTGGGTGAGCCTCTTCTAGGAGTGGGAGGAACTTGACCGCAGACACATACCAGAATGAACCATGGGTAGTCTCGAGACATTTTGATGATGGAGGAGCATGCGTGTCTTCTGACATTCTTCACTGCACGCGTCCGTGGCGCCTGAAAATGACATCACAGATCAGATTGATGATTGGACGGACTACTTGGCCTCACAGCCATCACTTTGATATAATCCCAAAGAAGACATCCGTCGTCCCTCCTAAGAATATTTAAGACAGCTCACCTTGCTCTCCTCTACCACCTCAAATGTGATGGAGGCAAACAGCTGGGAAGGAAAACAACAACAGTTTAACACGATCCACATAAAGACTTTGCGAGATTATAGATTGGTGTGTGTGTGTGTTCACCTTGTAGAGGACCTGAGGCAGGAAGTGAGGTCGGTGTGTGACGAAGGGGAAGAGGGAGGAGAGGTTGGTGAGGACACAGGACAGGATGAGAGGGTCTTGGGTGTTGTAGTTTAACACAGCCTGCAGCAGCTCAATGCCCTGGTCTACTGGCAACTTCTACAGAAAGGGCAGAGGGGACACCAGAGTTAGGGTTGCATCATCATCATCACATTCATAACACTTGTTTATGTTCTTCAGCCATGGGAAAAAAAAGTATGAATCAATGGTTTTGTCTTTCAACAAGTTGTACCTAGTTGTAGCTGTTGCATTGTTGCCATCTAGGGCACCCGACTGGCAGCGTTCACACTTAGCCAGTCTTTAGATACTGTTTCATCCTCTCTACCCCTCTAACTCTCCTCATCTCTCTGCTGTGGGTATCCATTAGCATTTGGCCTGTTTTGCTTCCTCTTACCTCAACCTCTACGTTCTTGAACATCTGTCCCACAACACTCTCTGTGAAGAAGGTCATAGCATCCCACTGGACCGCTGACGGAGACAGGATAGAGCACAGCCCCTCAGCCATCTTAGCTGGATAGGAGAGAGAGAGAGAGAGAGCGAGAAGGGGAGAAATAAAGACAGAGTTAATAATGCGAATTAATTCATTAATTAACAGGCACCACCAGTATCACTTGACCTACAATTGTCTGTCACTTGGCGCCCTTTCAGAGAGTTGTTACGAGAATTCATCTAAATGTGTGTGTTACGAGTGAGCAAGAGTGAGAATTCATCTCATACATATAAAGAAGCATTTCCTTTATAAGAACCTCAACTCTCTACTTCCTCTTGATACAGGTTAACTCTTGATTTGAGCAGTCAGCTCAGATGACCTAGAAACTTACTAATGGTCATAGTCCCAGAACCTCTCCAGTTATTAACCCTACAGCTACTCTTGTGGCAGTCTGACTGCTGTGGCTGGCTGGCAGTGTGTTAATCCCTCAGGGACTCCTCCAAGACACATTTACCATCACACACACACGAGACCCCCCCCATTCCCAGATCTTCAGTATGAGCCACAGTCAAGAAGCAGCACGTACACACAGTGGTCCCGATGTCAATGGGTGTACTGATCTGATACTGCAGCCACTCTGCTGCAATCTGGAAGCCCTCCAAGGGAACGATACGACACGCGTTCCGGACCGCCTCCCCCTGCTGCGCTCGGAACGCTGGAACACATTAGAACACAAGCATCAGGGTCGTGATCAGTAGGAACAAACTGGGGAGAACATTCTTTGATAGCAAATAAATAAATTAGATTATATATTAAGATAGCATAAATCCAAATTATTCAAATAAAATAGGAGTCACATTGCTTACAGTTGAAGAAGGAGTTGAAGTCTTCGTCACTGTCGAAGTCATGACGGGAGTACTCACAGCTGGGACTGTCGTTCCTGGAAGGAAAACCAGTCTAACAGGCAGAACACAAGAACATAACGTCATAGAATTAAAGAACCTTGTCATAGCAGATCGGTGACCCCATCCTGTAGGTTCATGCTCTACAACATTGGCAGAATACGACCCTGCCTTACACAGGAAGCGGCACAGGTCCTAATCCAGGCACTTGTCATCTCCAGCCCACCCTTACCCCACCCGAAAGAAAAAAATTAATCAAAATTGTAAAGTGGTTGTCCCACTGGCTATCATAAGGTGAATGCACCAATTTGTAAGTCGCTCTGGATAAGAGCGTCTGCTAAATGACGTAAATGTAATAGCATGTAGAGACAAACAGTATCAATGGTGGAGAAGCTCAACCTTCTGGTGTAGTTGTCAGTATTTATATTTATAATTTGTCCCTTTGTGTGTAACTCAATGAGAGTCCTATAGTTGCTCATTTGTTCTAATGAACATTTTGATACTTTAATGTGCACCTGCACAAAGTCTTGGATGCACATACAGTGGGGAGAACAAGTATTTGATACACCGCCGATTTTGCAGGTTTTCCTACTTACAAAGCATGTAGAGGTCTGTCATTTTTATCATAGGTACACTTCAACTGTGAGAGACGGAATCTAAAACAAAAATCCAGAAAATCACATTGTATGATTTTAAGTAACTAATTTGCATTTTATTGCATGACATAAGTATTTGATACATCAGAAAAGCAGAACTTAATATTTGGTACAGAAACCTTTGTTTGCAATTACAGAGATCATACGTTTCCTGTAGGTCTTGACCACGTTTGCACACACTGCAGCAGGGATTTTGGCCCACTCCTCCATACAGACCTTCTCCAGATCCTTCAGGTTTCGGGGCTGTCGCTGGGCAATATGGACTTTCAGCTCCCTCCAAAGATTTTCTATTGGGTTCAGGTCTGGAGACTGGCTAGGCCACTCCAGGACCTTGAGATGCTTCTTACGGAGCCACTCCTTAGTTGCCCTGGCTGTATGTTTCGGGTCGTTGTCATGCTGGAAGACCCAGCCACGACCCATCTTCAATGCTCTTACTGAGGGAAGGAGGTTGTTGGCCAAGATCTCGCAATACATGGCCCCATCCATCCTCCCCTCAATACGTGGCAGTCGTCCTGTCCCCTTTGCAGAAAAGCATCCCCAAAGAATGATGTTACCACCTCCATGCTTCACGGTTGGGATGGTGTTCTTGGGGTTGTACTCATCCTTCTTCTTCCTCCAAACACGGCGAGTGGAGTTTAGACCAAAAAGCTCTATTTTTGTCTCATCAGACCACATGACCTTCTCCCATTCCTCCTCTGGATCATCCAGATGGTCACTGGCAAACTTCAGACGGGCCTGGACATGCGCTGGCTTGAGCAGGGGGACCTTGTGTGCGCTGCAGGATTTTAATCCATGACGGCGTAGTGTGTTACTAATGCTTTTCTTTGAGACTGTGGTCCCAGCTCTCTTTAGGTCATTGACCAGGTCCTGCCGTGTAGTTCTGGGCTGATCCCTCACCTTCCTCATGATCATTGATGCCCCACGAGGTGAGATCTTGCATGGAGCCCCAGACCGAGGGTGATTGACCGTCATCTTGAACTTCTTCCATTTTCAAATAATTGTGCCAACAGTTGTTGCCTTCTCACCAAGCTGCTTGCCTATTGTCCTGTAGCCCATCCCAGCCTTGTGCAGGTCTACAATTTTATCCCTGATGTCTTTACACAGCTCTCTGGTCTTGGCCATTGTGGAGAGGTTGGAGTCTGTTTGATTGAGTGTGTGGACAGGTGTCTTTTATACAGGTAACGAGTTCAAACAGGTGCAGTTAATACAGGTAATGAGTGGAGAACAGGAGGGCTTCTTAAAGAAAAACTAACAGGTCTGTGAGAGCCGGAATTCTTACTGGTTGGTAGGTGATCAAATACTTATGTCATGCAATAAAATGCAAATTAATTACTTAAAAATCATACAAATGTGATTTTCTGGATTTTCTAGATTCAGTCTCTCACAGTTGAAGTGTACCTATGATAAAAATGACAGACCTCTACATGCTTTGTAAGTAGGAAAACCTGCAAAATCGGCAGTGTGTGTTGTAGCCTGTCTCACCTTGACTAGGTTGGTCATGGTGGCTCTAAAGTACTTGATTATCATCTGGATGATGACAGGATCCTTGGAGAGAATCTCATGTCTGAACAGGGTTCCCCACATGATCTGGGTGGAAGACCTTAGGAACTGGTGGGGAATGACACAAAAATACTTCAGTTCAGAGTAGAATAGATAATCAGAACAGATTGAAAAATGAAAGAATAAACCTGTGTCAACGTTCAGTGCTCGACGCCCAGAATCGACAAAGGGGGATATGGATAAACAATAGTATTAGCTAGCTGCATGGGATTTGTATCGAGAGGCTGTGGCTGGTACTTTACTGTAAAGAGTTGGTAACCCACCTGGCTGGTACTTTACTGTAACAGTTGGTAACCCACCTGGCTGGTACTTTACTGTAAAGAGTTGGTAACCCACCTGGCTGGTACTTTACTGTAACAGTTGGTAACCCACCTGGCTGGTACTTTACTGTAAAGAGTTGGTAACCCACCTGGCTGGTACTTTACTGTAAAGATTTGGTAACCCACCTGGCTGGTACTTTACTGTAAAGAGTTGGTAACCCACCTGGCTGGTACTTTACTGTAACAGTTGGTAACCCACCTGGCTGGTACTTTACTGTGACAGTTGGTAACCCACCTGGCTGGTACTTTACTGTAACAGTTGGTAACCCACCTGGCTGGTATTTTACTGTAACAGTTGGTAACCCACCTGGCTGGTACTTTACTGTAAAGAGTTGGTAACCCACCTGGCTGGTACTTTACTGTAACAGTTGGTAACCCACCTGGCTGGTACTTTACTGTAAAGAGTTGGTAACCCACCTGGCTGGTACTTTACTGTAAAGAGTCAGTAACCCACCTGGCTGGTACTTTACTGTAAAGAGTTGGTAACCCACCTGGCTGGTACTTTACTGTGACAGTTGGTAACCCACCTGGCTGGTACTTTACTGTAAAGAGTTGGTAACCCACCTGCCTGGTACTTTACTGTAACAGTTGGTAACTCACCTGGCTGGTTCTTTACTGTAAAGAGTTGGTAACTCACCTGGCTGGTACTTTACTGTGACAGTTGGTAACCCACCTGGCTGGTACTTTACTGTAAAGAGTTGGTAACCCACCTGGCTGGTACTTTACTGTAACAGTTGGTAACCCACCTGGCTGGTACTTTACTTTAAAGAGTTGGTAACCCACCTGGCTGGTACTTTACTGTAAAGAGTTGGTAACCCACCTGGCTGGTATTTTACTGTAACAGTTGGTAACCCACCTGGCTGGTACTTTACTGTAAAGAGTTGGTAACCCACCTGGCTGGTACTTTACTGTAACAGTTGGTAACCCACCTGGCTGGTACTTTACTGTAACAGTTGGTAACCCACCTGGCTGGTACTTTACTGTAACAGTTGGTAACCCACCTGGCTGGTACTTTACTGTGACAGTTGGTAACCCCCCTGGCTGGTACTTTACTGTAAAGAGTTGGTAACCCACCTGGCTGGTACTTTACTGTAACAGTTGGTAACCCACCTGGCTGGTACTTTACTGTAACAGTTGGTAACCCACCTGGCTGGTACTTTACTGTAAAGAGTTGGTAACCCACCTGGCTGGTACTTTACTGTAAAGAGTTGGTAACCCACCTGGCTGGTACTTTACTGTAAAGAGTTGGTAACCCACCTGGCTGGTACTTTACTGTAAAGAGTTGGTAACCCACCTGGCTGGTACCTTACTGTAACAGTTGGTAACCCACCTGGCTGGTACTTTACTGTAAAGAGTTGGTAACCCACCTGGCTGGTACTTTACTGTAAAGAGTTGGTAACCCACCTGGCTGGTACTTTACTGTAAAGAGTTGGTAACCCACCTGGCTGGTACTTTACTGTGACAGCAGGTAACTCACCTGGCTGGTACTTTACTGTGACAGCAGGTAACTCACCTGGCTGGTACTTTACTGTAAAGAGTTGGTAACCCACCTGGCTGGTACTTTACTGTAAAGAGTTGGTAACCCACCTGGCTGGTACTTTACTGTAAAGAGTTGGTAACCCACCTGGCTGGTACTTTACTGTAACAGCAGGTAACTCACCTGGCTTGGGTGAGTGGTGAAGGCCAGGAATGCTTCTGTATACTTGCTGAGATTTGCAGGTACCTCTACCTCCACATCTGAACCCTGCATTAGAAACACATAGGACAGAATCATCAAGACGCCCATGTGTACTATAAATAAATAAATAAATAAATAAATACATAAAACAATATAGTTAATAGATTATTGTAATCAAAGACAGTGCAGCCAGACTCACCACTAAGAAGCATAGTTGGCTGCCCAGGGAACACAGGACCTGACATAGCCTCTTCAGGAAGGTGTAGTGTCTCTCCACCAACCCCGCCACTGGCCTGGGGGGAAATCAAAGCAAACTTTATTTAAAAGTGAATTTTTAAACATCACAGCACACTTCACAGAAATAAAAAAGAACAGGCCGTATGAGCTCCAATGCTAATGCTAAATATCAACCCTGTTCTAGAGCAAAATACATAAGACCGCTGGGTAGGCACACCAAAATGTGTAGGCTACTCACTGTGTTGGAGAGGATTTGTTGCATGTTGCTGCTCCATCTGCAGACCTGCAACCACAAACCAATGAGAATTAGAAGCCAGAATGAGCTAGTAATGCTTCTGTGTAAGGTCTTATGGGTGGTGAGGGGACTGGTACTCACTGTGCTGCAGACAGGATGTAGTGCATGGCGACATCATCAAACAGCACCATCAGTGGTTTCCTGTCCTCCAGCTTGCCCTGTGGAGACACCAGGCACATTAAGATGACACAGCCCTGTGACGTACCTGACTTGTACTAGCCATTCAGTAGCTGTAGACTTCCATTTCAATAATGTCTTCGAAAAATATCTGGTCCTGTCCTAGAAAGGGGCGTGCCTGTAGAAAGGGTGAGTGTCTGGACATAAAGGGGCATGTCAGGTCCTACAGAGCCTGTCTGCAGTAAGGGGAGTGTCTAGTACTGTGTAGTAACCTTGCGGCTGATGGCGATGAGCAGGCACTCAGCAGCCTCCAGCTGCAGCTCGGTCTCACTGAGCAGCAGACACAATATCTCCAGCAGGCGACAGTTGTCGTTGGTGAGGTGGGCCAGGGCCACCCAGTCTATGTAGCCTGCCAGGGTGTTCAGCGCAGCCACGCCTACACGACAGTGGGCCTTGGCCTGACCGGGGGGAGAGGGGGCAGGAAGTAGAAGGAGGGAAGAGGAAGGAAGGAGAAGGGTGGGGAGAGATGAGAGAGAGCGGGTTGAGGGGCAGAAAACAGAACAGAGAAGTCTTTTTAGCTGGGTGTCTAAATGTGAATATAATATATTTGAAAGTGAATATATTGTATTACATAAAAAACTATTTCCTACCTGCAATTCTTGGCCTGGTATTTTTTTCTGGAAGAGATACAAAAAGGTCGAAAATCATATCAATAAAAGAGGTCAAAAACACTGCCGCAAAAAAATCTACAGCATGAGACAGACAGATGTAACCATTTTCTGTTTACCAGTTTGCGGTACTCGTCGACGTGGAGCTGCAGGATGGTGAGCAGGAAGCTAAAGATGCTCTCCATGTTCTGGGTGAGGGTCTGCTGGATGTCCCTACGGCGTTGGGTGGGCAGGGTCTGGAAGGTGATCACGTCCTCTGCCAGCCGCAGCAGGATCAACATCACCAGCTCTGTCTGGGCCTCCTGGGGGTGGGGAGGGAGTTGTCATTATTCTGATCGCAACAAAACTTTATTTGTATCCTGTAATGTACTCTGCAATTGAATCCATTGATGTTTTGAGCCCTGAAAGTTGCTCCGGGGGGGCCTTGGCAGTTGGCACCCTGCCAACAGAACCTAGGGGAAACACTGAAATGGAAAGTGCTGACTCACCCCTATGCTGGTGAGTGCCTCCATCTCCTTGAGCATGTCAGGCCAGTGCTGAGGCCATTCTCTCTTGATCATCTCCACTATGATCCGTGCGAGAACGTCCTTGATGTGGCTCTCCTCCTCCAGGATAGGATAGGTGCCCTGCAGAGGGAGGCAGTGAGCCAGTCAGGGAACAGACTAGTGTCAGTATATTCAAACATGTACATCTAACAGATCACGCAACAATGCGGAATTTGTTGGTTTATTTTTTTGTACTATATTTGTTATTTCGGAGGACAGACCACCATTAATTCCCTTCATCATCTTGTCTGCCACATACCTTTTCTAGAAGAATAGACACACTAACAGGGTGTTTATCACCCAGACAGACTTACAGTTGACAACAGCCCCATGGCACAGTTCTTCAGCTGGACTTTCTCCTGCTGTGGCATGTTGTTCCATCTGAACCTATTCTCAACATGAAGAAAAACAAGGTTTTGGGGAACATATTGGTAATATGTGTCCAGTCTTGATGACAATGATGGGGTGGCAGGTAGTCTAGTGGTTAAGAGCGTTGGGCCAGTAACCGAAAGGTCGCTGGTTCGAATCCCCGAACCAACTAGGGAAAATCTGCTGATGTGCCCTTGAGCAAGGCACTCCTGTAAGTCGCTCTGGATAAGAGTGTCTGCTAAATGACTTAAATGTAAATGAGGAGAACTGAATTAATCATATAATGCCTCATGAACTCACTTGATGACATGCTCCAGTATCTGTAGACCAAAGTGCCTCACCACTGCTGTTTGGGCTTTATCTGCTAACTGTAGCCCACATGGAACACAGAAGGGACACTTCTCTTTGAATTCTTCACAAAACTGAATAGAAAAAATGAGATACGATGGACAAGTTAATAATATGCACTCACTCAGTTACCTAGCGGTAGCCAGCTAGAACAAACTCATTCACATCAATGACGTTTGAAACATCAGAACGGTGAACTTGCAATGATATCCGTCATAGTTATCAATGTAATTTATGGAGCTTTACAAATAAGTGACTTAGGAGTCAAAGATTGCCAGCTGCTACTTATTAACTACAGTAGCAAGACGCTCTCAAAACAATGAATAACTCAGTTTATTCAACGCAATCAATATAACTAGGCTACATTTTTGGCATAAGTGATCTTGCATTCAGTTTGTGTGCATCAGCAGCAGTACTGGTTCTGCACAACTATCGCTCTGGATAAGAGCGTCTGCTAAATGACTAAAATGTAAATGTAGGTTGCTACCGGTGTGCAATGAATGAAATCCGCAGCTGGCAACGTGATGGGAATGGTATGTTAGCCTTCTGACGTTAGCTATCTAGCTAGCTGGTTAAATGGCTAGCAAGCTACGCCCATTGATTAATCCATGCAATAGACGTGGGAAAATGCCACGATCGACGTCTATAATGCTAAGTTATAGTTAGCTAGCTATGTATTTATATAAACACAGCCCATTCTCAGTCAAGTAACCACATCGCAACTGGGAAAGCTAGCTAGCTAGCTGGCCCCTTACCAGCTAACATTAGCTAACTAGCATCTAGCCTTCAAGATACCTTTAGGGCCTCCAGACGATATATTTGGCTAGATTCCGCGTCCATCATCACGTTAACAGCTTTGATGAGATGATCACACATTTCAGACACTGGTTCACCCATGACTTTGAGTAGCGTCTTCAGAAAGTGAGATGAATGCTAGCGGTACTTCACTACGCAAAACACCTACAATGGGTAAACTGCACGCGCTTCGATAATTCACAGCATGTACACAGGCGCAACGTGCTGCGCATGAACGTTCCACAAGATAAATGTCGAACTTTGGGACTTGTAGTTTTCTCGCCTCAAGGCGGGAGGCCAGAGCACAGAGGGACAAATGTCACTGTGTGTGATAAAAAAATACACATGCAAATACTTCATTTCATTTAAAGGATTGTGTCAACACAAAGAAAATGCATTAATTTTGTATTTTTAAATGTGGCTTTTGGGCCAGCCTCCATTCCCGCCATCTCCTGTGCGTTTCCTTTACCTGGCAGAGGCACAGGTATTACATTATTTTTTATTTTTTTTACATTTAAGTCATTTAGCAGACGCTCTTATCCAGAGCGACTTACACATTGCGGTCTATTCAGTTTCTGGATGCTCACGGTCACACACCTGCAGCTGGACCTGCTTGTTCATGGTAACAATCTCATTACTTTCGTTTTAATTTCAACAAACTGAATATTACATCTGCCTATCCAATTTCGGTAGGCCTATGTGGTTGTTGCATAGACAGGTTTCTTGACAACGTTTCATTCTGTAACTTTGCAAGTAGGCATAAGGTCCGTTTTGATGCAGTGATTTTAAAAATGTAATAATAAGGCATTTTATGTTGTAACTACTTCAGAGGTTTGCAAATGCCTAACATCTGTAACTATTTGGTTGTTTGGTAAAGTATTCTAAAACTTTTGTTTTGAAGAGAACATGTGCTTGCTTCAGTTGTTTAAAGTAAAGGATGGATTCTGTATTTTACTGTAATCGACTGTTTGTTTAATTTGATTTGGTCTTCCACACAACATCAAGCTATGTAGGCCTACGCCATTCAATTGTTTTAAACCGCCATGTAAAACCGCTCTTGGTAGGCCTATGCAGTTTATCGATCATCTTTGGCCTAGGCCTAATTTGTCACATGGAGCTGGGTGGCGACCATATTGGAAAACTGCAATGGGTGAAATCTGCCATGGGTTTCCAAACCTGTTTATTGAGAATTCTGCTGGCTTTCTGTAATGTCATATGATTATTCACTTATATTGAGTAGCATTTGGGGTTTATGTGTATTCTATTTAAACCAGGTGTTCCCAAACTTTTTTGACACATGACCACATTTTGATATAATAATAATAATAATATGCCATTTAGCAGACGCTTTTATCCAAAGCGACTTACAGTCATGCGTGCATACATTTTTGTGTATGGGTGGTCCCGGGGATCGAACCCACTACCTTGGCGTTACAAGCGCCGTGCTCTACCAGCTGAGCTACAGAGGACCACATATATAAAAAATGTTTCATGACCCCACCATGTAAAAAAAAAACGCCACTGTTTACTTTTTTATTTGGGTTCCTGACAGTCTATAACAAATCAGTCTGACAGTACTTTCAAAGTATTTCAATCTGAAGGAAGTGTGGTTTGAAGTGAATAAAATGCATCAGGCAATAATTGTGTATGATCATCTGTGTAGAACATATCATTGTTGCTTTCAATTATGACGTTCTTGCATTCAAAAGTTAGGGCCACATTTGTCACAACCGCATATCGGATACCGGAGGTTACTCGCGTAACTGCGGTAAAACTGTGATTTTTTTATCTCTCCAGAGTTTCTCTTGTGACCCCATTTTCAAATCAGATGTGAAAATAATGAACGACGTAGAAGTTGTGTTTGACCTTCCACAGATTTGCATTATATTCCAGAGAACGCATAGAGCCCCGAGTTGATTATCCCTTTTATACCATGGCTATAATTTAACACATGTCACTAGAAATGTGTTAATTTGCTGGTAGAAATGTGTTCAACATCCACTGAAGTAGCTAGCAAGTTTACTAGATAGCTACAGTAGTTGCCATTGGAAACCAAACAAACAGACTTGCTAGTTTAGCTAACGAACCATCAGTCCTAGCTTGCTATTATTAAAATCGAATTCAACAATACCAATACTGTTTTCAATTCAACTTTTGCTCTTTCAAAAGCAGCTCAAACAAAGCATGTAAAAATGAAATATAGCTATTGAATTAGACCGTGCAAATATCCTGTCCATTATAGGGAAATAATGCACTCTCTAGAATGCCCTTCAAGCCAATCAGAAAAGAGTATTCAACAATGCCATGGTATAATGTCTGATATATACACGTCTGTTCAAATGCAGAAGTGTGCAACCCCTAGTTTGGGAAACACTGATTTAAGCAAAAACGCCCATATATTGGCCATATGCCACAAACCCCCGAGGTATACCATAAACCCTGAGGTGCCTTGTTGCTATTTTAAACCAGTTAGTTACCAACAAAAATAGAACAGTAAACAAGTATTTTTGCGTCATACCCGACATATATTGTCTGATATACACGTCTGATCAGATGCGGTTTCAGCCAATCAGCATCCAGGACCCAAACTACCCCGTTTATAATAGTTTACGACTACCATGTATGTTCTTTCCCTTGTTTGTAGATCAACCATCCAGAACCTTGTAACATCCAATATACACATCTTTCTATATCATCCCTTCCATTCCTATCAAATAAACCCACAATATCGCTTAACACTGTTCCTCCATCTCCTCCTGTGTTATTTTCGATACACCAGAACAATAGCCCACACCCAAACCAAATTCACCGCAAAATTATTTTAACTGCAGTCATTTCAAGTCAACCACAACCCTGATTAGTACACTACTGTTATTTCATACATGCAGCTAACTTTTCTGTTCTTTCATTCAGAAGTTTCTTTCGCACTGTTTTTGGTCCTTTCATGTGATGCGATAGATTGAAGATGAACTGCTTTTCGGAATTTATAAAGTAGGCGTACTTCAATTACAGTATCCGACCATTGGAGGGCATCATGTGCAAAGAAATTGTATGGGGGAGCAAAGCACTAGAGGGCTTACCATCATTGGATTCAGTCTCATAACAAAATACAAAAAAATAACCCAATATAGAGACAATCTAAATTCAATGCAATTTGCTGGCGCAGCAGGTTGGTAATTCTGAGGTGGTTGTATGTTTAATTTCCTCTTTCAATCTATCTACCAGTAGCTTATGAATTTTACACTGAGTGACAGGTTGAATATTGAATATTCATCATGTCGTTTTCCATTACTATGTTGGATGCTTCAGGTACAACAAATGTAATAACATGGCATTAGCAAGAGCTTGAAAGGAATTCCTTGTGAGAGATACTAAAGGCCTACTTTGCACATTTAAAGTGATGGCCTATTTTAATTGTATTTCAAATAACAAGAGAACATAAAATCCCAAGTTTATCCATATCTGAGAAACATAAGACAACCATTTGCTAGATGTGGATGTGGCAGTGAGTGTTTAGGCCTGGTCATCTCCATGTGAGCACCAACATGTCAAGTTCATTGGAGCATGTCAAATTGGGTGTCAAATGCAAGCTAAGAGTCTTTATTTTTCTACAATTTTCCATCCTAATAATTTGGAACAAGCAAAGGCATTTATTTCTGGTAAAACAGATGGAAAAGGGGTCTTACTTAGAAAACATCTACCAGGAAAAAGTATACCAGGAAAAAGGTATTAAAAATACATCAAAACACAATGATGAAGTGAAGACCCCTGCCAACTAACATCAACAGTTTTTTTTTGTTTTTGGAGAAAATGTTCTGCCTTCTGTAAACATTGCCTTGTGCCTTGAAATTCCGTTATAGTGTTTTTGCTGATATCAATTTTATTTTTGAATTTTGAAATGATTAAAACTTGAAATTCCGTTACCAAACCAGTAACGGAATTTCCTAAAAATCGGTAACGGAAGTTCTGCTATTGAATTGGCTACAATGGGAAATCAAAGTAGTCACAAACCACAGTTGGATTCACAAGTTTGGACAGCACAGTACAGTACAGTAAAGAAAAGTATAGTACAGTACTGTACTGAACTATATTCTACTTTACTGTACTCTACTGTACTCTTCTGTACTGTACTGTACTGAACTCTATTGTACTGAACTCTACTCTTCTGTTCTGTGCTGTACTGTACTCTACGGAGCTATACTGTGCTTTACTTTGACGTCCAGACTTGTGAAACAGTAGACGTCTGTGATTGGTTCAGATTTGGTCCGGTCCAGACCAACCAATTTGGGTCTTGTTTGGGGGCAGAGCACATTAAAATAATAGCCAATCTGTAGAATAATACTCAAATATGCATAGGAGGATATTGCATATTTATACCTTTGTGTACATAATTAGGATACATCACTATGAAGAGAAGGACATTTAATATGCATAATTATGCATTTATGTGTAGTACAGATGAGGGACCAATGATGAAATTCCGTTACCGGGTGTAAACCCACTTCACTTACTGTAGTTCAATAACCAAAATATATTTTTTTCTAAGTCAATGTGTCATGTCATAGCTGACACCCCATTCCTTCTACAGACATCTTGAATTTTAATTTGGAGCAGATATTTAAGACTATCAGAAAAGAAAAACACATTGACAAATTATTCTATGGGATTTTAGTTTGGGTCCAATGTGAAAAGGGCTTAGAAAGATGGAATAGTGAACAACTCTTTCTAACATCAGAATTGTGTTGTTTTTGACCCACTTATGAATCCCGCAGTGCAATCTCGCTATTCTTTGTTTAATAATGTACAGTAGGTTTATCTCTGACTTAGTTTTTTTGTTTTGTTTTTGTTTTGTTTTTGCCCTATCAGATGTCTTCTTAGAGGATGTTCTCAAATTTACACTAGTCTGTCTCCATGCATCCAGATCAAATAGTACAACATATTAATTGAGGCAACACTCAATGGGGGGTGGTTCATTAAAAACAAGAAAAATATTTTTTTAACCATAAGACACCATGGAGACAGACAGATTTGTTTACAAAGGAATAAAAATAGTTTTCTATTGTACCTTAATGAGAAAAAAAACGCCCCCCACATATACTTCT